GACTCTAAGGAAAAGCCCCTCCTGTGGAATTCCGAGTAGCCAAGCTGAGTGTATGGTGTCCACCCCACATCCGTCCCTTTTCCCCTGCACCTCCTGGACTCTCAAGGTCTTGTTGCCAGAGAAAAGGAACAGCTGAGTCACTTCCTATTTGCCCACCTCTCACACTCTCTTACTCTCAGTTCATGTGTTCCACCCTCCTCTGGCCCCAGGGCCTCTCTCCCCTCTCTAGCTAAAGGTATCAGTTCTACAAGAGATTAAGGTCCTGGGTGACACTCTTGGATGACCAAGTCTGCATGCCATGTCAGCATGCAGGATATAGGTTTTAGCCAGTGTCCTTCTTCCAGGCCCCTGTGAACTCTCACCCTCTGGGCAACCAGAGCCTCTCCTGAGGTGGTTGGCACCCTGAATATCAGCAGGGATCCAGGAGTAACTAGAATCTGATGGGCTTCAGGGTGAGAGAAAGGAAGAGTGGGGGGGGGGGCAAGCCACCAGGCTCTCTGAGAAGAGTTTCTACAGAGCCCCTCCACCAAGGACCTTCTGATCCCTCAAGGTACCAAGGGTGAAGGCCAAGAGACCTAGTGGGGATTCATCCTCCTGTCCTGCACCCAGCTGCCCAGGCAGCATCCCACCTGGCACTGCCCCAGGCTCCTCTTACCTGAAGTATGTGGAGGCCAGCCCTCTTCCTCTGTCAAATGGTAGGCCCAGTGCTAAATGCCGGATGTAGGAAGAACAACAGACCTGGAGCCCACTGTGAGATCCTGTCTTTGTATTTAACTCAGCCTGTGGCCTTAAGCAAGTTCTGGTCCTCAGTTTCCCCTTTGGGATAGTGAGGAAGTTTGACCAGGTATTCTATGGGGCCTTCCTGTCATTGAAGGTCCCACTTCTTCTGGCCCAGATGGCTATCCTATGGTGGCTGTTCCACTGGACTAGTGAAGGAACAGTGAGTATTGCCCCTGTAGGCAACACAGCTGAGAAATACAGGAAGCGAGTGACCACTTCTAAAGGGGTGGGGGGGGCGGTATCTAGTCTTTCTCCCATAAGGCAGCTCGCTCTGTAATCAAAACTACCCCACTGGCCCCAGGCAGGCTAAAACCCATCAATTTAGGGGAGCCACCCGAGCCAAATCCAACCTTCTAGGAGCCAGGCCCAGCCCATGTCCTCCAAGTGTTCTCAGAGAAAAACCAAATGAGGAAATGCTGCTGGTTTGGTTGAGTACTGGGGACCTGTATCCACCCTAGAAGGAACTGGGCAGACTCCCCATTGCCTCGTTTGCTCATTCCATGTTCCTTGCCTCAATTTCCCTCTCTGTTGAGTAGAGCAGCACCCTCCCTGATATCTCACCCTTGAAAGGACTTAGAGACTCCAGGGAATGATATCCTCTTAAACAGAGGTCCTTTAGTTCTGTTAAATACCGGCCATCTTTGCTTAGTGCTTCTGTCTCCTTTCTGGCATCTCAAGTAGCAGAAATGGCTATTGCAGGCATGAGAGCTACCAATCTTGAGAGCCCCCTGGAATATTCCTGACCACTCACCACTGATGAAGGGCTCTGGGTCACCAGGGAGCTGACAGAAATGAGAGAGAAAAGTGGAACTAATAACTTATGAATTTCCTTGCTCTTTAGCACATCGAAGTTTTTCTTGCCTGTCAAGTCTCCTAGGCAAAGAAGAGAGAGAGAAAGAAAGAGATGCAGAGAGATATAACCAGCTGACCAGGGTGGGTCTGGGTCTGGGACAGTGGAGCACCTAGCCAGAAGGTCACCTTCAGTCTTAACTTCTTAAGGCTGATTCATCACTATGTAAGTAGGATATAGCAGTACATATGGAGATGGGGCAGGAGCAACCTGACTCTTCCCACCAGTCATCCTCCTTCGGGAAGCTGCAGGAGGGTAAACTCTGACCAGCTGTTACCTATTTTTATGGAGTCCAGAGCTGTCTGCCTAGTCAGACCGTTGAGAAACAGGCAACAGGATGGATGGCCCATCTGGTACAGAAAGAATAAGCGATGTCCACTGAACAGTTCCCCTTAGGCACCTCAGGGTTGTCTTCATCCCAGAAATAACCAAGAACCCTCCCTGTCCCAGGGTGCCTCCCAGAGAGGGCAGAGTCCTTCAGAATCCTGGGAAGGCAAAGGAATGAAACATCTGTCAACAGGAGTGGAGAGGGGCTAGGGATGTAGCTCAGCGTTAGAGCATTGCCTTGCATTCACAAGGGCATGAGTTTGATCCCTAGTACCACTACAAAAAAAAAAAAAAAGTGGAGTAGGTTAACCCCATCCTTGGGAGGCAAGAACCTTGAGGTCTCGGATGACAGATTCAGCAGTGTCAATGAGACTACCAGGAAAGGAGCATCAGGAGTCCCCATCAGGTTCCTGACAAAGCCTCCACCCCCTCTGCTCTGCACCCTTGGAAGGAGCCACACTAGAGCAATGTTCAGGGGAGACAGTGTGTTTATTGTAGCCAACAGATCCAAGCCATCAGACAAACTGCAAAAGAAACTGTCCACTCCCACAGCAGATACATCCCAGCAGCTAGGTCTCAGAGGACGGTTTAAGCTTCTCTCCCCTTCCAATCACCCCTTCCAACCACCACGCAGTATGTAAAACCCAGACATGCATAAGTAACATGTTATGCAGTTGGGTTTTCCCCTCCAAGTGCACAAAGAGCAGAAAGAACATTCCATAATTTGCCTTTGGTGAATCAACTCAAAACATCGAGAAGTGATTACACCTCCCCCCAACAATGTAACTTTTGGGGTGGGTGTAGTGAGATGTGTATATTTATATATATTTATATAATATATCTATACCTATACAGAAAAGCTATGTACAAATGCATCAGCAAGCTTCAATTAAGGAAGACAACAGCGAGAGGCACAGCAAGGGACACAGGCTCTCTATCCTTAAGACATAAGTAGGAAGGAAGATTTCTTAATTTATCACCCATTCCAAGCATGCCAAACCATTCTTATGGCCTGGGACTATCTTGTTTGGACCTGGCCAGTATTCCCAATTGTCTACCTGCTTAACCTGACCTTGTAAATATTTACCAGCCCAACTTGCCCAAGCAGACTCACAGAGAGAAATAGGGATCCAATCAGTGTTTCCTGTTTATAAACTGGGAATAACTGATGAGTCCATAGCTCAAGGGGCAGGTAGCTATTTCCAAAGCCAGTTCCAAGGCACCTCAAGGCATTTCAGTCCTGATGAATTGTGCTTTGTTCTTATAAGCTAAATCCCATGGGTTAGCCAGCCCATCTCTTTGCAGTGGCCCTTAGGATGAGGTGGGGAGATTCTGAGAGAACAGGAGAGTCGGGGCAGCTGAGAAAGCAGCAGACCGAAACCAGCAGAGCACAGTGATAGAAGCATGCAGCCAGAAGTGAGGCTTGAAACCAGCCTGCAACAAGAGGAACGGCTTGCTGGCATAGACTAGGAAGCAGGGTAGAGCAATGGCTGCAGTGCAAACATCTCACCGGTTTCCCACCTCGACTCACAGAAGCCCATTTTTTGCTCCCAACCTCACAGCCCTGGAGGACAGTCTAAGAGGCTTGAGAAGGAAGTGCATTTGTGAGCGCAAGCACCTGGGACAAAGATGGCTCCTGATCCGGCCCCATCTGCTTGGGCCCCTGGAGCAAAATGACAAGGATTGCTTGCCCTGGGCCCCCTTGGTCAGGGCAGAGAAGGAAAAGACCCCACAAGTCTTCAGCTTCTAGAAAGAGACTTTGGATTTCTTAGAATAACCCTAAAGAATCTTGCAAATAATTCACCTAAATGTCCTAAATCCTGGAAAAAAAAAAAAAAGTTCCCAACATCAGCACAGATCCTCCCTCATCCTGGGAGAGGAGGCACACATGTGGTGACCGAAAATGAAACCTGCCAGCTGCTGAAGTGTACACGGTGGCCACCCTTGGAGTCAGCTGGCCTGAGGTGCTCACCGCCCTCCTCTCTGCTCCCAGCTGGTTGGCTTGAAGGATGGGCAGTGTCCACCTGTTCCAGGCATCCTGGTGGCTTAGCCCACCCCCATTGGCAGTGTGTTGATTGGCAGTTAGGTAGTGAGTCGGTGAGTTTAGAATTTCCAGAAGGGCTGGACTTAACCTCACCTAGGAGTTCTATGGTTGGTTGCCCATCCCCCACTTCATAACCACCCTGCCTGGCCTCTGCAGCCCTGGTCCAATGGTACCTTCTCTCCACCTCTCTTCTAGAGAGGTCTAGAGTCCTTCCTTCTCCCCCAAACTTATCCCAGAAGTAGTGGATGCAGAGGTGAAAGTAGATACAGCAAAAACTAAATCTTGCTCCTACAGTGCTGACTGGCAGTCCCCAACTCTGTTATGGCTTTGTGTGCACAGTGCCTGGCACAGAGAAGATGCTCAATAAATGGTTGTTGAATTGAAGTGAAGTGAATAGAACCTTCTAAAGCTATTATCCTCTCTCCAAATTGACCTTCTGATGGGCAGAAGCAAGGACCAATCCCTGGGATGGTCTCAGTCCTGTCTTTACCTCTTCTTCCCAAACTCACTCCCTGTCCTGGACACCAAACTCCCTGAGCCTGCAGGGCCTGAGATCCTGGGAGAGCAGCAGAGCTGGACAGCATCCCTCACCTACCAGGCCCAAGAGGCCCTCCCACTGTTGACTCAAACAGGAGACCCAGGAACCACAAAGAGAGCAGGACCCTCAGTTTCTGCCCTTGGAACCTCAGTTTGCCTATCTGTGGTATCAGGGACTTGGATGGCTGATGTCTGAGGGTCTCCCGAGGTTGTGTTCTCTGAGTTGGCAGTTTCTGTCCCTTCCTCTTCCTAGGCTTTCACGATTCCCTTTAAATGTGAATTAAAATGGCAGTGAAAGTTGAATTCCCACAAATACTACTTCCTGATCCACCAAGGGAGCTGGGGGGGGGGGCTCAAAGGCTCCAGGGCTCTTTTCACACTTCTCTCCAGCCTTCTCCCCCTCCCTCTTGACAAAAGCCAAATGGAAACCCAACTGAGTGCACCCGAAGTCCAAACAGAAGTAAACCAAGGAACCTGCCCCTGTGTACCCTACCTTCTCGGAACCTGGCTACTTCTGGCCCAGATGAGGATGGGCACCAGGCTGGAGAATTTAGTCTGCAGTCAAAGCCCCACCATCAGTCCCTCTGCTGAGTTTGACATGGGTCTTCTGTGGATGGGTCCCTAGGGTGGAGCATGAACCCCACCTGGAGCTGCTTTTCCAGTGCTGTCCCCAACAACATCCCCAAGGGATCTGTAGCCAACAGCAAACCAAAAGCCTCCTAGGGGAGCAGCCAGCAATGGAAATGAGGCCGGAACAGAGCGCCCTGGTGAGGCTGTGGTCCAGGTTGGCTTCAGCCCTAGCTTTCTGTCAGTGCCCCGGAAATGTAGTCATCCTTTTAAACATGCCCCATAAAATGATAGGAACCCATCCTCACACCAGCCTGATGGCTGCTCTGGGCTGGGAGCAGCCAGAGGAGCACACCAAGGCCATGGTGAAGCCATCTCAAGGCAGCTCTGGTCAGCTCAGGACCACATTCCCACCCATGCCCAAGTCCTCTCTGGGCAGACTGATCACTACTGCCCACCCTCCCCCATCATCTCTGTGAGAACTCCACACATGTCTCCTGCCTCGTCTCAGAGACTGGCAGGTTGGAGCCCTTTCTTTCCTCTCCCCAGGACCCACACATGCCAGGTGCCATGACAGTTCTCAGATGGAAGAGAGGTGGGTCACTCTCGGTGCAGGGTGAGGCATACGAAGTGAGGGATTCAGGAGGCCCCAGGTGGACCCTGGGGTCCTATTCAAGAGAAGCACACCAAGAGAGGGCAGGCAGGGACACACTGTACAGGGCAGAGAGTGGGAGGAGATAGGACACAGGGAGGGGCTGCCGGGCAGGCCACCCATTACTTGGTGCCATCGTCCACATTGCCCTCGCCATCTGTCTTGCCCTCCTCCTCCGTCTTCAGGTCATCGGTGCTCAGTTTCTGTTCTTTTTTCCTCCTCACACATTTGATCACCATCAGCACCAAGATGACCACAGCCAGGAAACCCCCGACAGAGGCACCCACGACCACTGCCACTGTGGAGTCTCGCTCTGGAGGCTCTGTAGAAAGAAAGGAGGCAATGCCACTGAGCACTGGGGCTGGATAGAGGCCTCCCCCACCTGTTCCTTGAAGTGGCCTGACTTTACTCTCTTCCAGGGACAGGACTTCAGTCAAAACCAAAAAACACAACCCAGGGGCTGGCAGAGTAGCTCAAGTGGTAGAACACCTGCCTAGCAAGTGTGAGGACCTGAGTTCAAACCCCAGTATTGCCAAAAATAAATAAATAAGTAAAACCGAACCCAGACCACTGAATTCCAAGCACCCCACCCTCAAATACCCCCCCGGGGGGGGCAGTAGGATGAAATATTTAACAGCATGGACTTTGAGACCAAACGACCCAAAATTGAGTCCTGCCTGTACAATTAACAAAATGTGTAACCTTAAGCAATTTATCCTCTCTAACATCAGTCACCTCATCTGTCAAATGGGGCTGCCAACAGTACAGATTTGATGAGGATGAAATGAGATTAAAGCATGCAGAGTTTAGGCCTATGAGTAAGACATACTAAGTGCCCAGAAAATGAAAGCTGCCATTATTATTAAGGTAATAATCACGATCGACATGCAGACCTGTTCCCTCAGGGACCAGAGGGATGACACTGGTGCCTTCCACCAGCACAAGCTGTCACTTCCACCCTCAGGAGGGCACAACCTCCCTCAAGTGCCCCGAGTTAATTCTGTGGAGAACGACTAGGGACCCCACCTCTCACCTTCCAGGAGGACTTGCAGGTTGATTTTGCCATGGCCACGGTGGCGGTCGGGCGGGTTTGTGACATAGCAGTTATAGAAGCCCTCATCCTCAAGCTGCACATTCTTCAGTGTCACTGACACATCGTACTTGCTAGGGTTCCCCGAGAACTCCACGCGGTCTCGGAACCGCTCCAGCTTCAAATTAATGATTTTCATGCGGAACTGGAGGAACTGGGGTGAGGCAGAGATGGGATGGGTGGCTGGATGAGCAAAGAGCTAAGAGGACAGTGGAACACCCTCTTCCCAAGCACCCTTTCACCTCAAAAGAAGGGGAGTTACCCCAGAAGGGTCACCTAGGTATGGCAACATGCCTTGTACCAAGCTCTCTGGAGCAGATAGGCCCACCCAGAGTCCTCTGAGGCCACATGGCCCAGTGTAGGAGCAGGCGTGGGAAAGGCGGACTTTACCTTGCAAGGTCCTGTCTCCCCCAACCTGTTCCCCAGACTCACCATCTCCTCAGAGCAGTTACTACACTCCTGGTAAGTCCAGTTCAGGGAGAACTGTTTGTGGTTCACGGTGTAGCAGGAGTTGAAGGTGCAGGACAGGCGGGCATCAGAGCCATTGAGGATGTTGAGAGTGTGAGGGACCGTGACTTCCATGCTCCACCCTGATGGCACTGCAAGCAAAGCCACAAGCTGGTGATGATGCTGGCTGATGGGGCTGGGAAGGCCACATCTTCTGTAGCCAGTGGGTGACTGGAGGTGGGGAGCCAGAGCAGGGGGCTGGATCCCCTACAGCTGCTGTCAGGAGGCAAGGCACATATGGGTAGCCAGATGTAGTCCCTAGGGCTACCCATTGGGTGCAGAACAGAACAGGTACAGGTGGAAAGAGAACAAATTGTCTCAAGTCAGGGACAGGCAAATGATGCCCAGGCTCTTCCAAGGCCACTGCCAGGCAGCCCCTCCACCTGCCCCAGTCCTACTGGTGCCACTCGCTAGCTGAACAAGGGGCTTCACCACATTTGCCTCAGTTTCCCTCCTTCTTCTCCAACACTTCCAATAATACTTGCTGGGCCAAGGCTCTTCCAGCGGAAGCTGCAGTACTCCCTCCAGGAAGGGGGTCAGCCAGCTGCAGACAGATGGAGAGGCAGAAGACCTCACTCTCTCTCCACATCCAGAAACAAGGGACGGCAGTGTTCCAAGCCCAGCTCTCTCATTGTCCCCAGGTTTTGACAGATAGGAAAGAGGGCAGGTGAGTACTGGGAAGGAAGAGATATCCCAGAAGAAGAGGCGTTATTCTAAGGACCCACAGATGAGCCTTCAGGGACAGGAGTCCATTTCAGAGATGTCAGAAACACCACAGCTAAGAGCTGGTATAGGCTGACAGGTGGGGAGAGGGCACAGAATCACAGGTTCTGTGAAGTCCTGTACAAAGCATCAGACTCTGGCCAAGGCTTGGGTGCTATAACTGAGGGGGCCTGTGCCACTCTGACATTCTAAGCAGGGCAGAGTCTAGGGGAGATGAGTGAGGTGCATACAACGAGACATTTAAGGAGGAATCCATTTTCAGGAGCCGGAAAATACCTCCTTCAATGTTGTCCCCAGGCACCTCACTGGCTCACCTAGCCTTGAGCTCTTCCAAACTATTCTGCCAGGATTGTCAAAACCTCATCTCAAAGGTTAACTTAGTATTAACAAGGCTGAGGGGTATAGCTAGCTCAGTGGTAGAGCGATTGCTTGGCACACACAAGGCCCTGGTTCCATCCCAAGCAGTAACACCCAGTATCATACATTCACTCATTTCCCAATCATCTATAAAGCACCTATGTGCCAAGCACTTAGACCAGGCCCTGGGGATACCATATGGCAGAGTCACCGCATCTTGAAGCTCGTATTCTTGTGAGGGGGACAGACAACAACAAAGAAAAACAGTAAGAATGTGGTTGTAGGGAACTATATGTGGCATGGGCTATAATGACTAAAGCAAGGTAAAGGGTAGTCAGAGAAGATGGCTCTGAGAGGGTGACATTCATGCCGTGTTTAACTCAAGTGAGAGAAGAAGCCATTGGAAGTTCTGAGGGAATTGAGTCCCACGGCAGTGGAAACATGAGGGCAAAGTCCCTGTGGTTAGAATGATCTTCACACATCGGAGATCGAACAGAGTGATCAAAGGGACACACGGTGAGACCTGAGGTCAGAGTGAGCCAGGCACCAGGCCATAAGGAGCCAGAACATGGAGTTGGGACCTGTCCTTGTGAGTGCAATACAAAGTCACTGAAGAGCTTGAGGGTGGGGCAGCAGGGGGGTTGCCCAGGAGGGAGATGGCATAGATCAGGCGATTCAATTTGATTTGGGTTCCATCCTAGCTCCAGCCTCAGTCAGCCTGGAAATGTGAGCAAACTCTTTCACCTCTGCGTGCCTAGGTCTCCTCCTCCATAAAACAGCTGATCACACCCATTTCTGAATTGTCAGGATAACTAAAAATAAGCAGTAAGTGCCCAGCAAATGGTGGCTGCTATTATCCTAAACTGAGGAACTGAAAGGGCTTTGGAGGTGGGATAGGGAGAGTCTCAGGCCTGAGGGCACAAAGGAGACTGACCCCTCAAGCCCCCAGAATTCTCCCAGATCTGACAAGTGGACCAGGCTTCAGGGTTCCTGTGTGATTGCAAAAAGCTACTGGCCCCCACCCAGAAGCAGCAGCCCTAAAGCCCTTGCAGCCTGCAAACAAAGAAATCAGAGCCTGCTCAGAGCATCCTTCTGCTCAGCCCAACCCTGTGGATGAGGGGCCTGGGCAAGTGGCAGGAATTAAGGACTAGAGATGCTCTGACTGCTGTCCCAGAGGGGTCATCACTGAGCCCTAGATGGAGGGACAGGCATGCAGACCTCTCCTGCAGGGCCAAGGACTTTGGATGGATATTTAAAGTGTCCATTAGGGGAGCACCACCAACCAGGGAGGCTGAGGGGCCCCCACCAGTAGGAACAAAGCTCAGTTCCCATTGCCTTCACTTTCATATCCAGTCTGAAAGCACCTGGCACAGCACCAGGCAAGGAGGAGGTGTGCAGAAAATACCAGCTCCACCCCCACTCTGCAGAGGCTGAGAAATCTGAGGGAAGGAGATAATGGAGGTTTGTCCTGAGTTTACCTCCTATCCCAGGAATGCCCTGCCTCTCTAGCCCCTTTCTTTGGAGGGGCTGTCACCTTCCCAGCCCTCCCTGCCCCCAGAGAAGTCCTCAGCCCCGGGGAATTCTATCCTTTTTGAACCTCTGTTCTATCCCAGAAGCCCCAGGCGCACTCCAGTTTTGAACTTGAACCCCCACCCATCAACTCCCTCCATCTTGAAGGAGCCAGCACCCTCTGTGTGAGAGCAAGGGGTCTTTTCTGGCTGGTGGCAGGGGACTAAGAGGTGCAATGCGGTTCCCTGTCCATCTTCCCTGCAGGAGGCATCGGGGGACTTGTGTGCCCTCTAGTGGCCACAGAGGTCAAACATCAAGTCCTATGTGCAGAGGAAGGAAGGGGGTCACAGAACCAGAGGAAGTCAGAGCTGGGGGAACCCGAGGTGTTCTAGGTCTAACGCCTTTCCTGTGAGGAAAGAGGGATCATGAGAGAGACACACTGAGAATAGGGACACACTGAGGCTAGAATCATGGTTCCAATCATGGTGCAAGATTCAGCCTGAGGCCTCCCTGGAGTCTGGGCAGAGGACCTTCCATCAATCTAATCTTTCATTAAAAGTCAGGAAACCATTGCTCAAGGTCAGAGCTGTGAGTGAAATCCTGGTCTCTTGATTAACTGCTGCTTCAGAAAAGTAGGTGAATCCCACAGTAACAGCCACCACTTCCAAAGTATTTCAGCACTCTCTACTCATGACAGCCCCGTCACCACCCCCACCTTCCTGATGAGCAAATGGAGCACAAGGAAGTGAAATAAATAACTCAAGTTCACAGCTAGTAAGTGACAAGGCTAGAATTTGAACTCATGCTGCTGGGCTCCAGACAGGGTTGAGTGGCCCAAGCTGGGTGGGGATGGGATTATCATTCCAAGCATCCCAAGGAAAAAGGTCTCCTACTGTCTCCAGGGCAGGATCAGTCCCAAAACATCCAGCCCCTCCTCCCCATTCAGGTAAGTTCACCAGCAGGCAGTGGTCCTGTTTAAAGGACCCTCCCTACAAGGAGAGCCGACAATCTTCTTAAAGTCCTCCTTGGGACCAGGTCTGAGATCTGGGTCTGCTGATTTCCAGTTCCCAGCAGAGACTTGGTAAGGATGTTTAGCTCTGAACATCACCCGTGCTGGGTACCCTCTCTCCAGGGCACATCTGGGCATATCTGGTGCCCCTCAGGCCACAGCCACAACCATCTACTGTTCTAACTGGCCCATCTTGCAGAGATCCTGAAATTTTGCTCATCAGTCAAACACTCTCTTGCAGTGACTTGGAGGCTAGTTCTCTTCCCTCCTTTTTTCAACCCTATAGCAATAACTGAAGTAGGTTTGTTTTATTCTTTATTTAAAAAAAAACAAAAAACAGGTACCTAAGCAGATAAATTGCCTCCTGGAGCAGCCCCTGATCCTCAGGTAAGTGTGACATCCTTCCCACTTCCTGCTCACCACTCAGACTCTCTCTGCTCAGGGCCTCCCCTCCCAGCCCAGACTGCTCCACACACAGCCAAGCTGTTCTCAGGTTCCTCATCTCCAAATCTCCAGAGGCTCCCTGCTGCTCTCAGGACCCAGTGCTGGCTCCTGGGTGTGGCTTTCAAGCCCTTTGCCATCTGGGACTAACCTACATCCGGTCTCATCTCCTGCCAGCTCCGTCCCTCCATGCATCCTTCACTGCAGTGACCCGAGTTCTAATTCTTCCTGTAGATGCCCTTCTTTCCCTCCTCCGGGCCTTTGCATGTGTTTTGAAAGTTCTGTCACTCTCTGCCTTGGGGTTCTCCCATGTATCCTCAGATCCCAGTTTTTAAGGCACAGCATGGGTGACAGCTTCCCCAATGTCCTGGTGCTCTCCACCTAAGACTCCATATGGAGTCTTCCATATGACTTGGAGGCAGAATGATGTGGTGACCAGGAATAGGGCTCTATAACCTTAAGCAAGATAGTTGCCTTCCAGTGCCTCAGTTTCTTCATCTGTAATACAGGGGACAATAATAGGACTTGCCTCCTGAGTGCTGTTGTAAGCATTAAACAACCTGCTCCATGTCTAAAACTGAGCACAGTGCTCAGCACACAGACCTTGACAAAAGATGGTGCTATAAGCGCCATTACTGGTTTTATTACTACGGCACCTACGATGCTTCATTGCTATGTGCCCGTGCCCCTCAAGAGGCTCTGAGGAACTGATTCTTATTCATCTTGGTGTTCTTGGCACCTGGGACAGTATATGACACATAGTAAGTGCTTAATAAAATTCTGTTGATAGGAAGGAAGACATTCCCCACTCTGTGTCTGGGTCCCTGCCCCCAGCAGCAAATAATGTATAATGCACTTGACCGACATGGTACCAGACTCCACTTTCCACCACGCCCTCCCACCCCAACATAACCAGGCCAGTGACTGCAGAGTCAATGGTCTTGAGAAAAACTAGGAAACACGATCACTCAGATGTTTCCAGCTAGTCTCACGCACTTCTGCCACAGGAACCAATGGTTGCTCAGCCTGCCCTTTCTTTCACCAACTCCACAGTCTTCCCCTCAAGCCCTGCAATCCTTCATTTGTGGCATCCCTCATCCTGGTGATTGATGCTACCATAGCCACCCAAGTTCCATTGTCCATGAAGTCCTTGACCATGGAGTGTGAGGGATGTGCCTAATCACAGCTTCAAGATCAGTCTCCACTCCTACAGCCTCTCCCACTCAGGTAGAAGCTTTAGCTTCCCCTCACCATCCCTCATCGCTCCTCCATCTGGATCTCTTCATCCCAGGCTCCAGTTCCCTCTAAACCAGTTCCTGGTCCTGGTAAAGAAGCTCCTTACTTCCTTCACTTAGTTATAGCCTCCCCCGTCAGGAAACTCTCCCTAGCTCCTGGGAGGGGAGGCCAGTCCTCCTGCTCTGGCCACTGGTCCATCTCCCAGTCTTCAACATGTACTTGAGAGTCTGATAATTACTATTAATACAGCAGTACCATTTCTTGAACATTGGGGGCAGCAGAGTCCAATGTTTAAGAGTATGTGTGAAAGTCAGACAAGTGCGAGTTCAAATCTCAGCTCATCTTATGCCTGTCATGTGACCTTATGGGGAAAGTTACTTAACTTCTCTGCACCTTTTTCCTCCTCACAACATGAACATAATCTACCTCAAATGATTGCTGTAAGGACCAAACAAAATACGCCATACCTGGTCATGAGAAGCGCTCAGAAAGGTTAGCCGGGTTTTGGCCCTTGCACATCAGGCAGGAGGTGTTCTCCCGTTCACCCTTAGGAAAACTGAAGCTCAGAGGAGTGACTAACTTGTTCACAATCATTAAGTAAAGAACAAAGGTGGTTTAAAGTCCAAGTCCAATTCCAAGCTTCTACAACATTCCTGCTCTGTTGTTAATATACTAAAGATGTCAACAAGGCTGATAGGCCTTGTCTAGGCTTTCAGGGGCCCTGCAGGTCTCTGTTTAGTACCCCTGCCCAATGCACATCATGCCAAAGAGAGAGAAATTAAGAGACTTGTGATATATCCCCACCCACAATCCTTGAGTTTGAACTTCTACTCACTTGCCCCAGCAATAAGTAAGTTTAGGAGCAAGAATGAAACTATCTATAAAGCAGGCTTACAAACAACCTCCTAGCCCACCTGCCCACCAGGAAGTCTATGAGAGGTCCAATACAAAGTTGACATTCAAGACTGAGCTGGCCAATTCTAAGTCGAGTTTTAAAGGGCCACAATGTCACTCAGCCCACGGGTTGGATGGATTTTTCCTCTGTCTTTCTCCTTAATCCCTGCACCTGAGCCCTCTTCCATTCCATCTGGCCCAAGCAGGGGGCCCTCTCCATCAGCGCCTGCTCCAGTTTTCCTCCCAACCCAGAGACTGTCCTCCAGCCTGCTTCCCACCTACTCCCACGCACACTCCAACAAATCAGCAGAGCCAGATTTTCGGGAAGGCAGACCCAGACTCAACTTTCTGCCCCCAGCTCTCCCTAACACTCTCTTCCAATGCCCTAAATCCATCAGATTCCAAGAATTAAGATCCACAAAATAAGCTCTTCAAAGAAACCAGGAAGTGCCAGGACCCACAACCAAAGCAGCTAAAAACTTAAAAAAAAAAAAAAAAAAAAAAACCTCGAAGAGACTCTGCGGATCAGCCTCCCTCTGCCCCACCCCCACGGAGGTCCACTTCAAGGAAATCCAAAGTAAAATGACCTCCCTTAATGATCTGACCCCTGAGCAACACACATCCCCTCACCCAACAGTTCCGTGACAAGCTAGTCCCAGCATTATGCAGTCCCAGCAGTGTCCCCCAAGTCCCAAGCACCTCCCTGCCCAAGGACACAGGGAAGCACTAACAATGTCTTCCTTCCCTTCTGCCTCCTGCACCCTTCCTCTTCCAGCTGTGGCCACACTTCTGAACCCTCGGGAGCATGCAGATGAGGATCCAACTTACCCAAAGTGAAAAAGAGACTGAGCCCCGTGACACTGAAGGCAGGGCGAGGTAGCCAGGCATCCCTGTGCATTTTCAGAGTGAGATGTTAGGCGGGTGGACTATGGGAGAGGGTGATTTGAGGGACCAAGCACTACAAGGGAGGGATGGGTAGATGCTAAAAAAGAAAATGCACGGATGTACTTCAAAGACATATACAACATTAAGGAAGCTTTATTTCCATCTCTCTAATATGGCCGATTTGTATGTGGCTGTTAAAAAGAGAGGGGAGGGGGGAGTGCATAAGAGAGAGACAGAGAGAAAAAGGGGGATGGAGTAAATTTTGTGGTTGGTGGATTTCAAAAAGCAAGTGGGAGGGCATAAAAAGTCTTTCTGGAAAGAACAAAGTTGCCAGAAATTTTTATCCTCTAAAACAAGAACTAAATCAAATCTTGCCTTTCTACTTCATTTGGAATGATTTCTGGATTTTGGAAACTGTTAGAGGAATCCATTTATTTCTAAGCTGCTCTTTTCACCATTTAAAAAACACATCAAAAAAGGCCCAAAAAAGGGAAAGAGTTGTTTTGTGTTATTTGGGAAGTGAGCTGGAGAGATTTTGGGGAAGTAATGACTTCCTCGTAATTCTAGCATTTCCAAAGAAAACAGAACAAGTCAAAGAAGGCTGGTACAAAAACACAAGAGATTGAACAATCAGATGCAACAGGAACCTTTGGGGGAACATGACTCAAACACATCAACAGGAAAAGGACATCTGGGGAAAAATTAATATGAACTGGGTATTAGGTTGTATTAGTGAATAACTCTTGATTTTGTGGGCTGTCAGACAAATACTGTTATTATGTTTTCTGACATCTTTACCTGTTAGAGAAACACACTGGAGTGTTGATAAATGAAATGATACAACAACTGAAATTTGCTTTAAAATATTTTTTTGGGGGGGTGGGACAGGTGGGGGAAGTAGCTGTCACCAGAGTAGATAGTGCCATTGATGGTTCAAACTAACCGCTGATGGGTGCCATGCAGTCATTATACAGTTCTCTTTTTGTTTTAAAAATACTTGAAACTTTTTGTTTTGAAGAAGGAAAGGGAGAAAGAAAAAAAACAAAAGGCTAATGTCACAAGTAGGAGAACTTGGGGAAGTCGCAAAGTGGCCCAAGGCAAAGAAAGGGATACAATTCCATGCATTTGTGAAGGGCCATTTATGTGCCAATAAGGACAAGGAATATTTTGGGGCATTAACTCTGTGTCAAGTACTTAACCTGTGATGACTCAATTTAATCTTTACCATAAAATAGATTTTTGTTTCCTTCTTTTTAAATTGCAAATGAGGAAACAGAAGGTTCTAGGACTTAACCCATTCCAGTTTGCATGGGAGTTAAGGGCCAGAATTTAAACGGGGCGGGTAGGGGTGGGGGAAGTTGTGAAGTCCTGGGTATTGACAGTATTCTACAGTGCTTATCATCCAGGTGAGGAGACAAGGAACCCCACCCCAGAGTTTGATGCCCAAAGGGAAGCTAGAAGGGGCAGGATGTGGAGAAAATGGAATCCAACAACAGCGCAGAATAGACACTCAATGAACAGGTGGTGACTGCCTTGAAGGAACCGGGAAATTGGAGACGGAATAGGGAGTGGAATCTGGTCTCCAAAGCTGATCTAGGCAGGGAAGGAACAAGGAGGCCAGAGGGAACAGGGACGAGGATCTTAGTGCTCTCTATGCCTGCCCATGCCCGATCACACACACAGCCTGTCCCCAAGTGCCAGTCACTTCAGTAAGGGTCTGGCTCCAGGGCTGGACCACAGAGCACACAGCCCAGAAAGGGAGGAAGAATTAGCCAGGGGAGGGGAGGAGTCCTCTAGCAGCCTCACTCTTGGGTCCCATCCCCATTGCCCTCAGACCCTGAGGCCTCTTCCACTGCCAGCAGCTCATGGTGTGCCCAGAAGTCTGCAGCTGGTACCACCCAGACCCCAGCTCTGCTCAGACCCATCCCACCAAGTCCCAGTCCGCAGCACCACCTTCCACACTGCTGGCCTGCTTGCCGCAGACACTTTTCAGCCCAGCCCCACCCCCAGAGATTTTTGGTTTAACATAGCCGGCTACCTCCTTTTTCTTAATGCAGCCAAGGGTGCCTGTGAGGCCCAGAAACTGAAGGAAACTGCTTTCCTCTCTCACTTGATCTCATGCTAGATCCAGAAGCTTCTTTTATAGTCAACTGAGGCAAGAAAATGGATCCGGAAGTTCTTATGCTTCTCTCCAGAATTTGCTCAGAGAAACTAAGTACCTGACTTAGAATAGCCTTTGTCCAACTCAGACCTCCAGGACCAAGGGTCAGTAGGAGCCAGATCAGGGAGGAGGGGATGGGGGAGAGCTATCCCAGAGCCTCCCACAAGCCCACCAAGATCTCCAGATGCTCATCTGCTCCAAAAGGGTAAGCCATCCCTAGGAGCCAATAACACCTGGGAAACAGGAACTCAAAGGGGTGTTTTGTAGAATGAAGACGCCAAGATCAGAGATGAGCTTTTTGGGGGGAATTGAAATCCTGTGGTTTTGGCATCTGTGCCTGGTGTCATTTATCACTGAAGATTATATTTGACAACATTCAATTATCTACCCTGCTGGGAAAAGCAGAGTTACAAATAATCCAAGAGAAGGCAGAAGGAAGGCAGTTTCCTTCCTTTTGCCTTTAAAATGCCTATCAAGGCTACAGAGCTACAGAGCCTAATTTCTCAAAAGTATGATACCCCCGCCCCCACCAGCATCATTGGAGTCAGGCCCAAGGAATCAGATAATCAGAATGTTCTCTCTCTCTCTCTCTCTCTCTCTCTCTCTCTCTCTGTCTACCACTTAAGCCACACTCCCAATACTTTTTTTGTTTTTGTTTTTCAGGTAGACTTTCATGCTTTTGCTCAGGCCAGCCCTAAACCATGATCCTATCTCTGCCTCCTGAATAGCTGAGATTACAAGATTACAGGCACGTACCACCACACCTTGCCCAGAACCTGCATCTTTAACAAGTCCTCCAGGTGATTCTTGAACATGTTAAAGCTTATGAGGCCTCAGATTAAATGCCAACCTCAGTTGGTCTGCACAGCACACAGTGGCCTGCTCAGTGGGCTCATCTCACTCACCTCTCTTCTCTGCTTCATACCCTTCTTTCAAGCCATTCAATACCAGGTGATATTTCTGGAACCCTGCCCAGAGCTTCACATCTGTCTTTGCCTTGGAAGTTTCCTTTTCTCCAAATGCCCTTCCTCTCTTGCCTGCTCAGAAACCTTACAGTCCTTCAAAATCTGTTCCAGGATTGGGGGTGTAGCTTAGTGATAGATTAGGTTTTTAGCATGCTTGAGGCCCTGGGTTCAATCCCAAACACCAAAAAAAAAGTAAAGAAAAATCTGTTCCCAGGTCACCTACTCCTAATCTTCTAATTACATCTTCTTTCTGTACTCCTGTGTCTCTGGATTCCAAATATTAGAGTCCCTTATTATTCCCAGTGGATGTCTGAGACCATGGATACACCAGACCCTACCCATAACCACTGTGGTACCACAACAGTCGTTCTTATAACCTAATCACTACGTGACTAATGGGCAGGTAGCATATACAGCACAGGTACACTGGACAAAGGAGAATTATTTTCAGGTCCTGCCTGGGAAGAAGCAGGAGGGTACAAGACTTCATCAGGCTACTCAATTTAAAACTTATGAATTGTTCATTTCTGGGATTTACCATTTAATATTCTCAGACCACAGTTGTCCATGGCTAACTGAAACCACAGAAAGAGAAAACATGGATAAGGGAGGATTGCTGTGCCCATTTAATGGCCCTATGTGCTACAGTTAGAAACTGTAGGCCCAGAAATGAATAGGTACAGCTTGCTTTGACTGCTCCCAAGCTCACGGTATAGGATGACAAATACAATCCCGTCTGGAACTGGTATGGGAACAAAGATGCCCGGATATTGCTGTGGTCTCTTGCACTAACAGGGGCGAGAAAGCGTTGTCATTATTTATTCATTCACTTTCTTTCCCAACTAGACTATAACTCTTTAAGTTGATTGGGTCATCTTCTGAGTGCACAGTGGTCTCTATTGGTCCCTGAGCAGAAGAGAGTGAGTCAATGTCTATGTCACATCCAGGAAAAGGGTAGAAATTCCTGGCTGGAGAAGGTCTCAGAAAGTTCCAGCCAGGGGGTGGTAACTGGCACTGAGAGTCAGGTGCAGGGGCTCCCTCTTCAGGCTGCTCCACTTGGCTTCCTAGGAATTCCATCAAAGAGAAGTTCTTCCACATGAAGTCAGAGACTGCAAAGGTCACTGGAAAACCTAAAGCATGGTGTCTAAGAGCTTCAGATACCTGAGAGAAGATAAAGTGTCACCCCAGGAAACAATTAGAGGACAACACAAGATAAAATCTGATCAAGTATCGAGCCAGCTAGGAAGATTCAAGAACTATATCATCCCAGCCTGACTCAGGCAAGGCCTTGAAGGAATGTGGATTTGGGAAGACAAGAAGGGAAAGGGTATCCCAGACAAGAATCAGCAAGAACAAAGGCTCAGAAGCAGGAAAGACAAAGATACATGGAGCAGAAGTTTCCTGTGGAAAAAAATGGGAGGTATGGATGGGCAGACAAGATGGCACCAAAACCCAGAACACTGTGCATACACAATGTTGAGTTCAGACAGCTGCCTTTGATAGTTCTGGAACAGGTAAATCATTGCTTTTGCCATCTATGAGAAAGGTCTTGGTTTTGTGAGAAAACTCTGAATTCACTTACTTTTTTTTTTTTTTTTTATGAAAATGAGATATTTTGAGAGTAGGATTTTACAGAAGTGGTCATGGATTGCCTGACCTCCCTTGAGGAAGCCTGAACCACATCTGCAAAACAGCTGGTCAGAAGGTCAGTGTTTCTGAGAAACTTCTTTTATGCTCAGTAAGAGGATCACTGATCTGGGCTGGAATACAGCTTTCTTAAAACCTAAGGCTTTTGCCAAGGTTCTGGTGGCTCGGTGGCTCGGTAGCAATCCTGGCTACTTCAGAGGTTAAGATCAGGAGGATCATGGTTTAAAGCCAATCTGCACAAATAGTTTGCCAGAGCCCATCTTCAAAATAACCAGAGCAAAATGGACTGGAGATGTGGCTCAGGTGGTAGAGCTTCTGCTTTGCAAGCATGAAGCCCAAAGTTCAAACTCCAGCCCCGTCAAAAAAATAAATAAAATAAAACTCTTCAACTCTAAGAAACTGAGGTAATCCAGTGTCAGTTTGACCCCTCCAAACACACTCGCACACACAAACACACATGTTTTATTTAAGAAAATTGCCAACATAGGTACATGGCCATACTAACAAGCCAAAGTAGGGTGGCAAGTAGGAACAGAAGAGCAAAGAGCTGGCAGCCTTTCAAAGTAGTTTCATCTGATCCCAGGCGACAGGCTGCCTCCAAATCCAACAGCCAAATTCTGGAGCTGGCAGTCTCCATTACACATAGGCAACCCCACCCCCTCCACCCTTGGGGATGCTTTTTCTTGGCAAAGACTTGTGTGCTGCTGGAAACCTTTGAACATGGGAGCATCTGGTGTTCAAGGGACCCAAAATGCTAAAAATTCAAGTAACAAAACTGCTTGCTAAAGGAGCTCCTACATGGAGTTCAGCTTGCACCCTGCCCTTCTGAGCTCAGCTTCCTACTTCTCCTTTTCTTTGGATGGAAAGGAAAAAGGACTTAGGTATTTTGGTTTAAGGACTTTCTGCCCATAGAAGTCAATATTAACAAGAGATGGGGACTGAATCACTAGAAAGTATTGTCATCCATACTGTTCAATTTTGTCATTAAGACTGAATGGCACAGACAGGCTAGCATTACATGAAAGACAAAATAACCAGTTTCTGGACTGGCAAGAGCTGAGAATACAAATCCAAATGGGAAAACACTTGCAGGGGTTGGAGAGCTCAGACCAGGCACTATGTTGCCTGAACTCTCTCATTTGGTCCTTGCAAAAAATAAAAAAATCCTATGAATCTCCATTTCATATACAGATGATCTTTGGTTGAAGATGGCTTCAGTTAGGATTCTCTTATTTCATGATGGTGTGAAAGTCATGCATGTTCAGTAGAGACCATACTTTGAGCTTAGAATTTTGATCTTTTCCCAGACTATAGATATATAATAAGGTTCTCTTTCACAATGCTGGGCAATGGCAGTGAGCCACAACTCTCAGTTCGGTACACCATTACCAGTCCTTAGTGTCCTCTGTCATAAGCAATGGTGTTCTGAAGGTTAGCTGAATTCAATGAATTTTCAACTTACAATATTTTCAATTTATGATAGATATAACCCTATCAAAGTCAAGAGCATCTATATAGGGAAAACAGCCTCAAAGAATCCAAGCAAATTTTGCAGTATTGAAGCATAAAAGGGAGCCAGGGTTTGAACCAAGTCATTTGACTTTGAAGCCCACTCCCTGCACCATACATCTACATGTGCCCATACTTAACACATAGTTCTCTCTAGGAGAAGGAGGTGGAAGAACAAGCAGGTCTTTTTTTGTGGTCCCCTGCAGTACTGTTTGGATTTTAGGCAATATTAGTATTTGACAGCTGTGGATTCTACCCTCAACTTTGACTTCTCATGCTTCTGTGTAAGAGGGAGGTTTGTGGTGAAGCAGGGCTAGGGGACAGAGGTGCTTGCTCTTCCTCCTCCTCAGTCCCAACTGTGGGACCCAGAATGAAAGCCAAACTCTGAATGAACCAGATTCAAATGTGGACATAGCTGTACTTCTATAATCAGAGTGGAAGTAAGGCCCATGTGGAAAAGTGATTTAGCCCACCCAAAATATTCTGATACTTAGAACAATTGATGTGAAATTACCATTCACACACCTGATTCTGTATCCTGAGGCCATCCTCCAATGCATACACTGTTTGAGGAAGTGGAAAGGGGCCCCTTAGCTCAGGAAAGAATTTTACTTAATAGGCCAGAAATGAAACCACTTCCTCCCCTATGAACAATTCAGCTGTGAAGAGTCCTGTCCCAGCTCCCTCCACCGCTGCAACTTACCATGCCAATATGTGTCCCCAATGTGACAATATGTGTGCTTTCAGTATGCATATTGATACACTCCTATATTCAGATCTAACAGATGCTCCACGGTAACCAAGAACAAAAAGAGAACATTTAGCCATTGTGGTGGACACACACCTGTAACCTGTAATTCTAACACCAACACTGAGGAAAGCCAAGGATCTTGAGTTCCAGTTCCAGACCAGCCTGGCATACACAGAAAAAGATCCTGGAGGACAGAGAGAGAGAAAGAGAGACTGACTCTTCTCCATAGTTAACCAAGAGCAGTTGGTAAGAGAATTCATAAGGCATGGTATGAGAGGACACTCATGTATGGAGACTGGGGGATCATTTAAAAATGTAGCCCCACTTGAGACTGGCTCAGAAATCAGAAACCAAGAAGACCTCCTCTTATCTGGGACCTGGATGACTAAATGGGAAGAAAGAGATGCAGAGAAAGATCTATGGAGGTCAAGGAAAGATGACTACAGCAGAGTCCAGGTCAATCCCTAGAGACTAGAAGTCAGACTTCAGAATCAAAGGAGTTTTAAGACCGACCATATCAAATCTCATGAGAATAAACAAAAAGTGTAGGAACCTCACATTTCAGACCAGGAGTTAAGTCAGTGATTGTCCAGTCTGGGAATCTGTGAGCACCATTCTTTTATCTTTTTTTTTAGGGCCTCACACTTGCCAAGCGAGCACTCTACCACTTGAGCCATTCCCCCTACCCTGTTAGCATCACTTCTGAAGAAAATAGATGCCTAAGTGACCACTAGGAATTCCAGAGCAGGAGGCCTGTGGTGAGGCCCAGTAAGGAGTTATCAGCAATGGCAGCTGGAAGGAAGAACCACTTGGTTAAATACCAGAGCTGAACTCCAACTCCTCTTCCAACATGTTCTTCCCTAAACCTTTCCCAAATCAGCCCAGTGTATTGTGTCACTGTGTGGCTTTCTTCCAGAGACTTCTGCTGTTCCAGGAATTCCACACTGCAAATTCCTCACCTAAACTCCAAAGTGCCCGTGAGTCAGGACATAAAAATGGACGATTTCCACAAACCACATTTATTTGGGGATAAGTCATCAAACGAATCATTTTGGTTGATTTGTATCTCTGTGATTCTTCCCAGCAGCTCATCCACAACAAACACTGTCCATATGAAGGGGTCTGATCCAATGCACTGCTTCAGGCTGCTGGGGTGGCTTAGCCAATTTCCCCAGGGCTGGAGTCCCATTCCAGGGGCCAAGTTCATGCTTTCCCTCCTCCCATCAGGTCTGTTCCTCCCAAGCTACCCAGTCTTCCTGCTGGGCTCCAAACCCTCCATCTTCAGCGGTTTGGCTGAGGGCAGCTGGGCGGCAGGGGTCTGAAATAGCTGGCACAGTGGCCCAGGACGCATAGGACAGAGTTCCTGCCACCACTAAGATGAAGGATACCTTCCTTTATTTCTCAAAAACCTTGCTCTGTTTTTGGAATTCCCCCAGCTGGCATTTTATCAAGTAGCTTATTTGAAGCTGACTTCAGAGAGGGCCGAACTGGGTGCTGTGTCAGGGAGAGAAGAAGAAACAAAACACACTTATAAGTAGTTCAGGGAGCTGGGGATGTAGCTCAATGGTAGAGCACTTGCCTAGCATGCACAAGACCCTGAACTGAACTCAACCCCCAACAGTACGTACGTGCGCGCGTGCGCACACACACACACAATAATAGTAATAATAGCAGTTGTGTTTGGCCCAATAGTTAATTTCACGTGCCTTGTTGTATTTAGTCTTCACCCTAGAAGGAGGTAGGTATTATTGTTCCCACTTCAAGGATAAGGAAATGGAGGCTCATAGAAGCTAAGTTACCTGCCTCTGAGTTAGAATCTAGCTGCTAAGTCAGTCAGGATTTGCACCCCGGTCTCATGACCAAGCTTGTGATCTTAACAGCCATACCTACAGCCTTAGAAAGAGAAAGCATGGCGCTACCCACTGGAGATTGGTTCCAGGAATCCTGCAGATAGCAGAACCCACAGGTGCTCATGTCCTTTATATAAAATGACACAGTATTGTACATAACTTACACACATCCTCCTGTACACTTAAAATTATCTCCAGTTGACTTAAAATACTTACTACAATGTAAATGTATACAAATAGGTGCTATACTGCATTGTCTAGGAAATAATGACAAGAAAAAAGTTTGTATGTGTTCTTCATAGACATAATTTTTTCCCAAATATTTTAATCTGTGCATGGTTGAATCCATGGATGCAGAAAACATGGACTGAACATTTAGTAAATGTAATCAAGCCAACAACAACAAAAGTTTCCTTACCTTTGCTCTTTATCAAAGAACACCTCTGCACTTGAACTCTCTAACAAGTGGCTTGCAGCCCAGAATTCACCCACAGGCTTATTTAATTTGGCACACAGTGTTTTAAAACAACTTGGCCAGTCCAGAAGGCCTCTGGGCTCGTGGCCTGGGCCTCATCTTACCCACACTCTAGCAGATCTCTGTCAAGGGGACGAAGGTGCTGTCATGTGGCAAACACCTTGCATGTGCATGGGGTGGTAGCTATGAAGAACAGTCATTCCTACCTCATGTTCACTGCAGACAGCATCACCCTGCAGTAGCCACATGGGCAGGTCTATAAGGATCTGGCAAATTACTGGAGCATCACAGGCCATCATGGTAGAAGGATATAGGGAAAATGACTCCATTCAACGACAACTTCAGAGGGGCTGATGTTTCATTTAGTGGAACGAGGCCAGGTCTCTGACCTCACCCTGCCCTGACAGATGTTTCTGCACTACAGTCAGCTGGGAGTCATGTGTCCTCTGTGCACTGTGATAGCTCATCATTCCACAGGCACGGGAGCCAGCCTTCTTGAACTCCCTCGTGGGCTGGGGGCCTATAATCAGCTTACAGTGTCAACCTATTGCCAGCCCACTCCTTTTGTCCCTGTCCCTACTCACTGCATGGCAAGGTGCCTTTGCTGGGGCTGTACTTCCTGGGGAGCCACAGAAGTCTAAAGTGAGAGAAAACAGGACTCAGAGTCCATGCTTATCTCAGAAACTCAGCCTGCAAACCTGCATGTGAGTCAGATCTGAAAAGGTTGTGATAAGGTACAGAATAAACAAATCTAAGGGCCAAAGGGACCTGACTGGCCTTTTTTCCTTTTCTTTCTTTCTTTGTTGTTGTTGTTGTTGTTTTGAGACAAGATCTCACTATGTAGCCCAGGCTGGCTCAAACTTGAAATCCTCCTGCCTTGGCCACCTGAGTGCTGGTATTACATGCATGCTCCACCATCCCTGGCCTACTTTGACCTCTGATGGAAAGTAATCCTTTTCAATGCAAGACTTGTCTAAGAATTCTAACACACTTTCTTTATTGGGCCTTGTTTACTCACGCCTGTGCTAATAACCCCCTCCCTACTCCCAAAGAAGGCCACTCTTCACCTTTTTCTGCCATGAAAGCCAGTAGTCTCTAGGGAGGGCCTTTAATCCTGAAGGCTAGGCAGGAAGGCATGCTTGGTAACTCCAGAGCTCGGTTTTCCTGACTTTCCTACCACCTGCAGAAATCTCTGACCTCAGAAGTCAGCCTCCCAGATGACCTAGGCACACCCACCACCCAGAGCTTGCCATGTCCTTCCCAGCTCAGGTTCCTCTTCCAGACATGGGCCCAGCTGGAGCCCAGAGTCAGCCTCACCATGATCATGTAGGTGGCCTCTGATTGTCCACTCGGTTCTTCCTCCATCAGCTCCCGTGTAACTATTGAGGAGTAGATGTGTTTCTGTAGGGGAAAATGGTAAAAAAAAAAAAAAAAAGTTTCAAAAATCAGGAAAATCTCACAGGCCAGGGGAGAGGCCACCTCCTCCTATTGGCAGGATATCAGCCACCAAAGCTGGTTAATTTCAGAGGGTTACCAAGAGAATTGTCGTCAAGAATGCTAATTCAGGGGGAAGGCGGAGTGGCTCAAGTGGTAGAATACCTGCCTAGCAAGTGTGAGACCCTGAGTTCAACTCCTAACACCATAAAAAAAAAATAATAATTCAGTCTTCTGAAATTAACTCACCAGCAAAGGGCACCATCCGAAGAACCAAACTGCTTCAAAAGCCCAACATCTTTGTTTCCATGGGCATTGAGTTAGCAACAGGAAACACTTATCTTGCTAAATTACTTGTATTCTGTAGATATCCTAGTTAGTGTCATGGTAAGATGGCATTTAATTAGCAGCTAATTATCATCATCTCTCAGAGGGTTTATAAGACAGGGACAGCCCTTCCTGAACCTCACATCTGTGAGGTCCATGGCACTTTGGGAGTCCCAGTCCTGTCACCCTTTGGGAAAGCAATATCATCCAGAGACAAATTCTTGAGCTTCTAGATGCACCTGCACAATGTTGAGGAAAAAAATCCTACTTTTGGGACAAAAACAGCCCCAAAGATAGGAAGATAACTATTCAAAGAGGAGTTTCTAAAAGTTAAAAAGAGAAAGGAAGATGCTGGGTGTGGTGGTCCATGCCTGCAATCCCAGCTATGTGGGAGACAGGTAGGAGGATCACAGTCCAAGGCCAGCCCAGGCAAAAACCATGAGATTCTATCTGAAAAATAACATAAAGCAAAAAGGGCTGGAGGCGTGACTCAAGTGGTAGAGCACCTGCCTAGCAAGCCTGAGGTCCTGAGTTCAAACTTCAGTACAGCAAAAGAGAGAGAGGCAGAGAGAGAGGAGGGAGGGAGAGGAGAAGAGGGGAAGGGAGAAAAGAAGGAGGGAGGGGAAGGAAAAAGAGAAAAGCAATTCAGAAAAATTAACCCATTTCTCAGTCTCTATTTGTTTATAACTCCTTAACAAACCATTATGGAGAGAAAAGTCTTTCTTGATCCTCTCTAAAGGTTCCTGAATACTTAATCTTAACTATTAACTCCTTAACTGCTAAATTATTGTAATTCTCCCTTCTGGGGGGACAGTACTGGGGGTTCAATCTCAAGGCTTCCATTTCTCCCACTTGAGCCACACCTCTATCATTTTTGCTTTAGTTATCTTTCAGATAGAACCCCTTACATCAACTCTCCACTCTGGCCAGGCATGGCCCATGGTCCTCCTACCTATGCCTCCAGAATAGCTGGGATTACAGACACATGCCACTACACCTGGCCTATAATTCTCCCTTATAGTTATTCAGTATTCAGTGCCTCATGGATTATGAAGCTCTTGCCTGTACTCATTTTATTTGAGCCTTATAAGAATGCTGTGAGGTAGGGAGAGCAGGGATCTTTGTCCTTGTCCTCTTCTGCTGAGGGTGAGGGTGGTGGAGTTTTCACCTGGGCTCTTTCTTTGGTATCTCCAACCAAGGACTGGTCTGGCCCAGTCCACCCTGCCCCACTCCATTCTTCAGAAGTCCTTACTGCTGTGATAAAGGCTTCCAGAGTCCCTGCTGATCAATGAATAAGGCACAGTTCCCAGGGGAATAACCCCCACCCAGTGTCTCCCCAGGATTTCATGATGGAGAACGCGTGCACCTCCCCCTCACAGGACGGGCTGCACAGGCAGCGTTTCTCTTACCTCTGGATTAGCCTTCTTCATGTTCTCCAGGCTCTTCACGTTGGCTGTAGAATTGACTGAACTGCAAGGCATAAAAAGCATGAGGAATTAACTAGCTGGCTTGGTGCCTCTACGGGATCCCACATTGCTTTGGGAAGAGAGACCCAGGGAGGAACTCTGCTCTCAAGACTCTTACAGCCAGAGCAAGACGCTGTTCCAGACATAGTTTAGGCTGAAACACAGCTTCAACTTCTCTGTCATCCCTCTAACAACCTCCTGTCTATAGTGAAAAGTACAGTGTAGATGGCATGGTGGTGTGTGCCTGTAGTCCCAACTATGCAGGAGGCTCAGGAGGGAGGATCACTTGACTCCAGGAGTTCAAGGGCAGCCTAGGCAACAACAGCATCCCATTTTTAAAAAGAAAGAAAGCAACAACAACAAAAAAATGTGGGAGGTACAGTTCTAAGTGAATGAACAGAGAGGGACAGTGAGATTCAACTTCATTGTCTTTTTGACGTTTCTGAGAATTAGAAAGATGTAGCTGAACCAGCAGGGGGCAGCACATGCCCAACAAGACCCCAGTTCTAAGGGTTCCTGCCTCTTGCAGAAAGGGCCCAGCCAAATTACACCCACCATAGCTGGGTGCTCTGGCCCCTTCCCTGTCTGGAGCACTTTACTTTTGATCTCTCAATCATTTGCCTCCTGCATTTGCCACTAAATGCACTTTCTTTTTTTCTGTTTTGCCCTAAGGCAGATTAAAAAACAAAAATCAGGGTATAAGTTAGAAAATAAACCATGTTTTTTGTCCCAAAATGGAAATATTTTGATCATATTTTCTGAACAAAAAGTTGTATATTCTCATTGTAAAATGAATCAGATAATAAGAAATGTAAACAGTTGGAAGTTTAAGTTCCCACTAAACCCCTCACCTCTACCTTAGAATTAACCTTTCAAACCATTTTCAATGAAAGTATAAATAAATTCATGCAAAACATATTTAGTATACATGCTTCTGAAGTAAGCGTTATATTACTTTCTTTTAATAAAATTTAGGTCATACTGTAAACTGTCTTACTACTTCTTGGATATCATTCCATGTCCTTCCATGCAGGCTTGTGTGGTATTTCATTTAGTAAAATACCCATGCATTGAATCATTCCTTTCTGAGAGTCACTGGCCAGCATTATACTTTTTAATCACAAGCAATGCTGCACCAATCTCAGCAAAGCAGGCTGATTATTTCTTTAGACTACACTACTAGACATAGAAATGCTTCCTTTCTTTTTAAGGAAACTGAGGTCCAGAGTGGGGAAGTAAGCTGACAGTGGAACCCATGTTGTCTAGCTCTCCATTCTGTACTCTCAGCACACCCAGAGAAAAGACCCTGTGAAAGGCCAACCAAGTTCAAAACCAAATCAGAGAACTCTGGAGAGTAGGGGTGCAAACAATCACTTTCTGTAGAATCCGTGTTCCTCTGGGAACATCGCTCAAAATCCAGCATTGCAAGACTAGAGACATATCTCAGTGGTAGAGCACTTGTCCTGTGTTCAGTCCCCAGTAACACATACACACACACAAGTCTGCACTGCTCAGTCTTCACAAGGCCCTTTTCATTTCCACAATCTCAACAGAGTATCAACATGCCCTGCCACTGCACCTCATCAATAACAGTGTAAATCGAGAGACCCAGACCTGCCAACAGCCAGTGAAACTCTAGGATCCACGTCAAAGCATTTAGGCATTTCTGAAACCTTGGGAGAGCTTCTGATGAATTCAGTCCTTTAACAACACGTAAGATAGGTGTGGTGGCATATGACTACAATCCCAGCACTCAGGAGCTGAGGCAGTAGGATCTTTAATTGTTGGAGGCCTGTCTGACCCACACCAAATAATAATCTCTCAGGTACTGAGTGGTACCATTATAGTTCTTGAAAAAGATTTACATTCTTAATCACGCTCCATTCAGACCTCATTTGTAAGGGAGTCACCAAAGTGAACGAGGAGGCCATAGGAATCTCCAAGTCTCTTCAAGGGCAGAGTGAGCAAAGTGGGCAGAGATACCTACAATGACATCTAACGCAACAATCAAGATGATTTCATTTTAAGTGGAACCTTGTTCTGTGAGAAAGGCACAATCAAGGCCTGTCCCTCGCTTTGGGTTTAAAGGAGTCCTGCAGCCCCAGCCTCCCAACCCAAGAGGCAGGGACAGCTTGTACCTTTTATTCCTGTGAGTCCTCTTCACAATCAATATCAAAACAGGAAGCAGCAAGAGAGTGGCACAGACGATCCCCACAATGATCACCAACTGATTCCTGCCTAGGCCCTCAGGTCTAGGGGTTGCTGGAATTACCGTTTGGGAAAGGAAAAAAGCAATGAGAAGGACTCACTACTCCAGGAAAGAGCCAAAGCCCCAGAAGTCCTATGAATAGAAGCAGCAGCCAGGTCAGGAGGTAGAAGGCCAGGCCCCACCCCATATGGGACACTGGGGACACTGTCCCCATTAGACCAGACTGAGAACCAAAGTCTGGCCCCCTTGCATGCCCCTAAAATGTACATTAAGCCAGTGCCAGTGGTTTACACCTATGATCCTAGCTACTCAGGAGGCAGAGACCAGGAGGATCGAGATTCAAGACAGCTCGGGCAAATAGTTCACGAGACCCTATCTTGAAAAAACCCATCATAAAAAGGGCTGGTGGAGTGACTCAAGGTATAGGCCCTGAGTTCAAGCCCCAGTACCACAAAAAAAAAATGTAGATTAAGGTGCAGTGAGGAGTTAATGGGAGATGAGCCATGAAGATGCAACATGCAGCTTTTTAATAAGATATTTGGCTATGTTGAGAATGAAATACACACTTGACTGTTGTGATAGCTCTACAACTCCAAATACATTAAAACCCAGTGATCTGTACACTCTGAATGGGTGAAGTGTGTGGCATGAGAATTATTGTATCTCAATAAAGCTATTTCAGGATACAGGATGAAAGCTGGAGTAAATAAAAACACAGGCAGGAGGAAGAACTGAGCTTATTTACATGATGAATGGTAGAAACCAACAGAGTGGGAATGCAAAGAGCCATGCTGTGGGGTTCCCCGGAAGGAAAAGAGAGTGACACCTGAGCACAGGGCACCGAGTGCCCGGTCACAAGGGAGCTCTTCTGCCTCAGGATGGTGGGTAGCATTAAGAATGGAAGCAGAAAGCTGGGCACTGTGGTACAAACCTCTAATCCTAGCTACTTGAGAGATAGAGACAGGAAGATCACAAATTTGAGGCCAGCCTGGGCAAAGTTAGTAAGACCCTATCTCAAAACATTAAAAGTAAATAAAAACAAAAGAGCTAGGGACAAGTACTGCAGAGAGAGAGACAGAAAGACAGAGGGTGAGAAGATGAGAAGATATGAATATGTCTATAGGCTGGGAGACCTCAAAAGTGAGACCAAACCACAGTGTTGTTTTTTCTCTGTGAATTGAAAGGAAGGCTTCTGAAAATGAAGTACACATAGAGATGATGGTGCTATGGCTTAGAGGCATGGCTCAAGCAGTAGAGTGCCTGCCTTGTAAGTACAGAGCTCTGAGATCAAACCCCAGCACCACCAGAGAGAGAGAGAAAGATATGATGGCGCCTTCCTCTCCAGCTAGGATCCTTTGCTACTAAGAAGCTGCCTCCATATCTGGCCTGAGGCACCAGGCACAAAGGTATGCCCCTTCCTGTCCCCATCTCCCCTCCCCCAGCCAACCACAGCCACCTCCTAAAGGCTCGTATGAAAGCAAAGTCCACGGGTCACATCCTGACTGCTAACTGAGTCTGGTTTAACTCTAACCCCTCACCCATCAACCTTTCTTAGATATCACAATCAAGGCTTTATTCTCTACCACACCATTGGCCTTGATGTACACTGTCTGCAGAACCTGTGATCAGAAAAGCCATCTATTTTTGGTTCTGGTGCCTTCCTGTTTTCTCTGTTTCTAGCTGTCTCTCACCAATTCATTTTCTCTTCCATACAGAACATAAAGTATCTCCCTGGAAGCCAAGTAAAAATGATGTGGGGCCACAACTCCAGCCCACCTCTAAACATTTGGATATTTCAGCAGTCAACAATGCTGGCCATGAGCAGGGTTTGACCAAGGGCTGGTGTTTGCTATCTATTAGCTCCCTCTTTCCTGCCTCATACCAGATGGCACTCAGGGGTGGGAGGGTGGGGGAGAGACAAGCCAGGAGACTGGGAGCCAGGCTGAAAGAAGTGTCACTCTCAGGATGGTGCAAGCCCAGAGCCAGCACCTGAAGAATGACACCTGCTTCCATCGTGCATCCTTGGAGCCTCTCTGGCCTTGCTCCAGTCCTGCTATCAGCTAGAGTTCCCCAGCCCTCCCCTCTAATCAAAGGTTAGATACATCTAGTCTCTTCCAGGATCACATGCAGCACAAAGGTCTTCCTGAACACCAGGCTCCCCAGGTGGATATTGCAGGTGTAGACGCCCCGGTCAGACTTCTTCACACTTTGGAGCATGATGGAACCATCATTTTGAAAAATATTCCCCACCAGGTTTACACGGTTCTGGAAGCGGCCCCAGTTCTGGGGGTACCTCATAGGCTTGTTGAATTTGAGGTCAGAGTATAAGACAATCACCTCCTAGAAGGCAAAGGCAGAAAGTATGAGACTGGAGGACTGGCAGGGAATGGTGTGGGGATGGGAGGGACTCACAGCCTTGTATGGGAGGACAGGAAAGGCACTATCAGAAAGCATAAGATAACATAAAGTGATGTACACACACATGCGTACATACACGTGTACTGGTAAAGAACACCACCAAACCACAAACAACTGCTTTAGCAGATGAGGAGGATAAAGGGCTGGCGGTATGGCTCAAGTGGCAGAGCACCTGCCTTGCAAGTACAAAGCCCTGGGTTCAAAACTCAGTATCCCTCAAAAAAGAAAAAAAATAAAATAAAAAAACCTCTACACTTCCCAGGAGGATATCACGTTGAAAACAACTCCTTACCTGCTGCAGGTAATGAGGGAAGATAAGGAAAAGCAAGAATAATGGGCTTTTACTTTTTCCAGAAAAAAAGTCCAAAGTACACTTTTACTTTCTATAGCACTTCCAGTTGGTTTCCAATGGGCACCTGAAACACATCTAAAACTGAACTCCTAATTGTTTCCCAAAACCAGTTCCTTCCACCCACCCCATTTTGGTAAAATAGCAATACCTTCTTTCAGGATAAACTTCTTGGGGTCATCCTTAATTCCTCTTTCTTAAATGACTCACATCTAACGACACAGAAAATCCTATCACAACTTTCAAAATACATCCCAAACCTAGCCAGTTCTCAGCTCTCCCACTGTCATCCTCTGGTTCAAGTCACACCTCTTCTCTTAGCACAACTTGCTTGTCTCCCTGCTTAGTGTTCTCTACCTTCCATTCTCAACAGATGAGTCTTTCAAAACATAGCTGGCATCATGCACTTCCCGGCTCTCAAACTTTCAACAGCCCCTCGTTTCCACCAAAACCACAAGCCCTTGGTATTCTGCCCAGTCCCTTTTTCCTCCCTTCATCTTGTTCTTCTCTCACTGGCTCCAGCTGCACTACCCTCTCTGCTGTAATTTGAGTCCTGGCCTCAGGACCTTTACGTGTGCTACTCCCTATGACTGGAACAATCTTCCCCTAGACACACACATGGTATGTCTGTCTTCACTTCTTCAGACCACTGCTCCTATGTCACCTTCTCAGTGAGGCCTCCCTGGCCACCTACACAAAATAACCACCACAAAACTCTGCTTAATGGCTCTTCACAGCTTTTACTATTTCTTGTTTTAGATATTTATTTCTTCATTATTTTACTGTGTATCTCCCTCTATTTCGACTGCCAATCTCTCATTAGGACAGGGGTTTTGAGTGATCCATCACATAGTAGATGCTTTAAAAGTACTTAAATGGGACTGGGGGCATGCCTCAAGTGGTAGAGCACCTGCCTAGCAGGTGCTAGGCCTTGAGTTCTAATCCCACTACCACACACACACACACACACACACACACACACACAAAACAACTTGAATGAGTGCCAGAATGTTTTACAAAAATGTGTAGATCGTGTGTGTTTCTGTGTGTGTATTTGTGTATGGTGTGTGTGTGGTGTGTGTGTGTGTTTGTGTGTGGTGTGTGTGTGTGTGTATATGTGCACATGCGTGGTGTGTGTATGTGCATGTGCGTGTGTGTGTGTATGTGTGTAGTGGTTCTGGAGATCAAAACCAGGACTCTGTGTGTACTAGGACAGTGTTTTACCAGTGAGCTACATCTCTAGCCCTAGATTAAAAAAAAAAAAAACTTAAAAAAATATATAGTGAATACACAGACACTAACAAACGGAAAGACCTGCCCCTAACCTCCTGTCCCTTTCCGTTGTGAATCATTTGATGGGATGACATTTAAATGCATGACAAGTGCTCAGGGGATTACATGTGATTCCCACGTGCCACCATGATGTCACTTTTTTCTGAACCTCACAGGAATCAAGGGAATACAAATGACTTTGGTACAGACATGACTTGGAATATATCTTAATTTATAAAAGTGAAATCTTTTATAAGCTTTGTACCCTAACTTTTATTAATAAGTCATCTAGGATGTTCCTCATATCTTGACCTTTAAATATATCACCATGTCATAATTGAGATCTACTGGTCTAGCCTGCTGTTTACTGCTTTATAGTGAACAGCAACATCCTCACTCTGCCCCCAAGACGTATCACTCTCAACACTTAAAAAATTCATGAAGACAGAAAATTCTCTCCATCATGTAAAGGGAACAACAGAGCACCAGCCAAAACTTATAAAATAACTCAAATAAGAATATAATCATGTTCTTCTGCCTAGCTCACAGCTTTCTTGGCTAGGCCACAAAAATCATACTCCTCATTCTGTCATGGACTCTACAAAGAAGAGTCAGGCGCCAGTGGCTCACGCCTGTAACACTAGCTACTCAAGAGGCAGAGATCAGGAGGATCACAGGTCAAAGCCAACCAGGCAATAGCTCTCAAGAACCTATCTTGAAAAAAACTCATGACAAAAAATGGCTGGTGAAGTGGCTCAAGCTGTAAGAGTGCCTGTACAGCAAGTATGAGGCCCTGAGTTCAAACCCCAGTGCCACCAAAACAAACAAAAAGAAGCTAAAATGCGCATCCATGTCACATACAACATGATTTACATGTATGAGCTCATACATGTCTTGACAACCCTAAAAGATCAGCATCATAACAGCCATCTTCTTTTTCACCCTTTGAATCCTGTTTCCCACCAGGAAGCCAAAACTGCCCAGCCAAGTGGCTGAACTAGGAGGCAGGCCTGACAAGTTCCAAAGCTGGAACTTTTGCAATACCACCCACCTCCTGTATCTGAGGACTGATTCTCCCCTCCCTGCTCTGTCCTGCCCCCAGCCATGGGCTTCTACCACGCCGTGAGGTTTCCTCCTTGTTACCTTGTCATGCTCTTCCGAAGAGAACATCCAGACTACCTTGGTCACAAGTTTCTCTTCTGTGCTCTGGAAAACACATCCCATCTCTGCAGAATCACCCACATGGATTATGAGTTCTGGGGATAAAATGATAAATTGAGTCAGACCCATACCATAATCTATAGACCTTCTAGAAGATATAATGTTTAATCAAAGACAGTCAGCAGCAAAAATCACTGTCACCCTCAACACTCCATATTCCTACCATAAATGATCCAGATGAACAAAGTATTCAGAGATCATTCACTCAAACCAATATGGCATCCCCAAAGTAAGAGAATATCTAACTATCCACAAACACCAAGCCAAGATTGCTGCCATCTTCATACTACAACAAACTCTGGTCCTCTTTAATTCCTTTCTCTTTCCCTTTTCCCAGAATTCCTCCCATGAACTCCAATTCCACATCAAGTTTGTACTAAAGACAGTATAGAAAGTCTCAAGCCAGGCATGGTGGCACACATCTATAACTCCAGTACTTTGGAATCTGAGAAAAGAGGATCAAGAGTTCAAGGCCAGCTCAGCAAGAGCTACACAGCAAGAGCTTGTCTCAAAAAGAAAAAAAAGAAAGAAAGAAAAAAAAAAAGTACAGAAAGTCTCCAAGCCCCTGCTTTCTGTTCATCAACTTAGATACCCACATCTGCATAGCATAAACAGGAAATAGAAAGCTGTAAAGCTCTCTTTCTTCTATTTAACCCACTGATTCTTCTAACTGAAAAAATGAACTGTGGGTAACTTTCTTCAATTCTTCTTTTCTTTTTTACAAGCTATCTTAGGACTTAGTTTTGGCTTCAGTGCAGGTCACAGGACTTCTTGCAAATTCATCCAAAACAGTAGAGAGCTTTCCTCTTGACTCTGTTTCAATCCTGCCCTCTCCTGCCTCCACCTCCCCAACTTAACCTCCCACCACTGTTTCTGGCTTTCCAACTCCTAGGCTCTTCCTATGCCTAGTTTATATAAGCAGCTATAAGTTTATTGCATAAGTCATTCCAAGAGTCCCAGAAAAAAAACAAGAATGATGTTTCTGACTTTTCCACAATGCCCTACATAAGCCAACCACAAATTAACTAAAAATGAAAGGCAGAACTGGTTGTGGTGGCACACACCTGTAATCTCAGGACTCAGAAGACTGGAGCAGGAGAATTGAAAGTTTTAGGCAAGGAAGAGAAAGGAAGGAAACAAACAGAATTTCCTCAAATGAGCACTGAGCAAGTTCATGGGTGAATAAATGCAATATATGAGCCAATCTTTCATCCAAACTATTTTCCAAGGAGAACATGAGCTTCCTGCCTAGCAGGAGATGTGCACAAGGGGAGGGAAGCAAAAGGAAATATATGAACTCTAAACTCAACGGAGAGAATTATTTGGAAGGCAGTGAAAATTCTCTCCAAAGAAAACCAGCAGGGAAGGAACTCCCTCTGAATCCTTCAGCACATCGACAACTCAACTCTACTTTTTAAGTACAACAATAATAACTGAAGATTCGGAGTCCTTTTACTACACAGGCTGTGCTAGACATCTTATACATAGCATATCAGTCATTATAACATATATATATATATACACACACATATATATGTACATATATATACATACATACATACATGAACATACACATTTGGTATTGGGGAGGTAAATCCAAGGCCTCACACATACACTGAACTCTACCCCTATAAGTCATTACAAATACATACTATATTACTCTCCCATTTTACAGAGGAGGATAGTGAAAAAGTCCAAAGCCACATGGTCAGTAAAGGGTAGAACCAGCATGCAAATCTAGTTCTGAATAAAAACAAAGTTCAAGTTTTCTCACACACTATACTGTATTATCTCACATAAATAGAAGGATGGTGGAGTCTAGAGCAAAAGTACAGGAAGTATTGATATTATTTTTTAATCCATAGTTTTTAATAACTGTGAAAAAGGAATTGTAGTAGAATTGTAGAAAAAAATATAAGGTAAAGGGTAAACTTTCCAGAGAAAATAATAGATGACTGAAAAATAGAGTTTCCAAATGGGAGGAGACAACCTCCATAAAGCTAGTTAGATAACTTTCAACTGGGTCACTCAGCAAAATTGTTAGGGGTTGGATCTGTTCCCATGCTAGCCGGAAGGGAAAAATAAATATGAGTTGTTCTTTCAGCTCCTGGGGTAATACCTGATTACCTCAACATGATTCTAACCTGTTTCCATGGCTTCTTCAGTTTTTGACATTGACTCCTATTGGCTCCTTCTGTGTCTCTCCCAAGCAGGAAAAGGCACCCACCCACTTTATAGGCTTGGTTTATACACACAAGTACTCAGGTAAGCATTAGAGAACAAAGGCAGAGAAATGAAGCATAAAGAGACTCCTGGAGAACCACAGCTTTGTAATTAGGGAAAATCAGAAGAGAAGCCAGGGGCCACCTTCGGCAACTCCATTTCTTAGAAAGAAGATTCAAGTGAGGGACGCTAATTAAAGACTTTGATTTATTACACAAATGTATATTGATTGCTTACTCTATACAAGGTGCTATGCCTAGAGCTGTTAAGAGACAAAGAACCCAGACCCAGGCCAGTAGGAAAGACACAACTGAACAGGTGTGATCAGTGTCGTGAAAGACAAAGGTAGAGTACTGGAAAGAGCTTGCTAATGGAGCGGAGTAGCGAAGGACCTAAGTTGGCAGCGAGGAGCAGAGGGTCCCAATTCTGGTTCCCTCATAGACGTAAGTTTCCCTGAGATCATACACTACTCCTTTACCCCACACTCTTCAAGAATGTATCTAGTGCTATCACTCTTCAAACATTTGTATTTACATACTTTTTTTTGGAAATGCCTCTTATCGATACAGTGAACTAAATTTTAGAAACACTGCATATTATTAGTTTAGATAACACTAGTTCATTATAAAAGAGAGACATGGCTGGACACCAGTGGCTCACGCATGTAATCCTAGCTACTCAGGAGGCAGAGACCAGAACAATCAAGGTTCAAAGCCTGCCCAAATAGTTCACGGGCCCTAATCTCGAAAAAAATCTATCTCAAAAAAAAAAAAAAAAAGGGGCTGGTGGAGTGGTTCAAGGTGTAGGCCCTGAGTTCAAACCCCAGTACCACAAGGAAAAAAAAAAAGATGTGGGTGGGGACTATTGACATGATGAGAGATTTCAGAATGTCAAGGAATGGCAGCTCCATGTGATACCATTCAACAAGGATGCCTTTCAGTCTACCTACTTCACCATATCTACATAAGTAATGATCCTTTGTCATTTAAAACTACTTCAGTGCCTTCCTGTTCTGGGGGAAGTACTTTATCTCTAACTTTCACCTTACTGGTGGTATCTCCACCTTTTGCTTTAGAGAACAATGTACAGCTAGTACAGCTACTACTGTTGCTTGCAATACTTGTCCTTGAGATTTTTCTGGAAGAACAATGTCTCTTTTAATTATAGTCTTGGCTGCATTCCATTCAACTAACACATGCTCAGAGATGGGAAGGAGCTTTCTAAATGCCTGTCCTACCATGAGTCAGACCAGCCAAGCTCAAATTCTCACTTCCAGACTGTCTAAAAGCAGCAGAATCCTACCTTCAAACCTGGCAGCCTGATGAACAAAAGAGGAAACAAGAAAAGGACTGTGGCTGTAGCAGAGGTGGAAGGCTGGGGTCCTGTCTGAGTAGGTCTTCTTCCAACCCTGGCCCTATTCCCACTCTTTGTGCTGCCTGAGGTTCCCTGGAGCCCAAAACTTCTACAAAGGGAAAATTTTAAAACTACTAATCTACTGAAGCCACCTCCTCCATTTATAGGTGGGAAGATAAGATGCAAAAAGGTTGGGGATTTGCTCACTTCTTTTAGAACATCTAACACAGTAGCTATAAAATGTGGATGAGGCATGGATGTGGCTAACTGATAGGAAGTAACAGTTAGGGTACAGTAAACACAACGTGGACTTTCTTGTCAGAGGTTCCAAGGTTTAAGTATTAGTTATGACATCACCTTAGGCAAGTCACTTACTCTGTCTAAGCCTCAGTAACCTCATCTGTAACATGGAAAGAACCATGTGAACTTTGCAGGGCTTTTGTGAGAAGGAAATACGATTAAACTAATGATTATCATGACTTTTATTTAATAAAATAATTATCATTTACTGAAGACTCACCCTGTGGGAAGTACTTAGCCCAAAGGCTGGCATTAATTAGCTCAACGGAATCAGTTCCCTTGCCTCTTCCATAAGGAATCTCTTGCCCCTTGGCCCCTGTCTAAGGCAATGTCTCTGTACCTTTAGGATCCTCTGGTAACACATGCACCATCACTCGTTTTTTAAACACCTTGCTCTCCCCTTTGATGCGGATTTCACAGGTGAAGTTTCCCTGGTCAGCCTCTTGAATATTTTCGAGCAAGAGAGAACCATCGTTGTGTAAGACATCACCCACCAAGCGCACACGGTTCTTGAAGCGCCCCATAGGCACACTAAAGTTGGAGTAATAAAACAGCACATATTCGCCCTGGAACACAACACAACGTTGGAGAAACATTGGGAGTCTGTATCCAAAAGACCCTGTTGTGTGGAGACAACACACACACACACACACACACACACACACACACACAAGTTCTTCATATTAGTTAATAATAATAACGTGCCAGGAAATAGTTGAGCTTGCACAAGATTCTGTGACTCATTTTTTCTTACAAAGGCAAATGGAGAAATATGGTACACACATTTTTATTTCTTACAGCTTGGGGGAAAATGTGACACCCACTCTAAAGATCACTCTGGAGATTCACATCTATAACCTTTGTCAATTATCTCTAATTTTCACCTTGTTCTGTGCCATGGCCCCTAGTCAGATTCGGATGTCTGATCTAATCCCTGTGGTGTTGTGGGCCAGTGTTCCTGGCATGCTAGCTGCCACTCCTCTCATTTCTGTCTTCCTTCAGCCAGCATATCTCAACACAAAGGCGTTATCAACAAGAAATGGTTACAGGCTGGGAAGCGAAACCCTGGGGAATTTTTATTTCTACTTCCACTATAGCTGTATTTCTCTTACAGTAATAGTAATAAAAATTTGAGTGAGGGTAGCATGACAGGGAAAATAGGAAATACTCACTGAGCTACAAAAACAATATTTCATTTGCAAACATCGGAATTTTATTGCTAGTAGCAATCTACTTGGGACATATTTCACAAATGACCCTGACATCTGAATATCTTCATAGACTCTCTGATGAGGCTTAATACAGCTTCTAATCCAAGAGCTCCAGGAGAGACTCTCACTCTGCCACACTGCAGCTTCAAGCAGATGAAAAGGAGAAAGTGCATTCCCAGGGCAGTAGAGGGCTGAAAGAATTGGCTTACATGCTTACACATACACCTACACACCCACATATACCCAAAAATAATTGTGACATCACTCTTATGCCTGGCTCAGAGCTCCTCTGTCTTGACCATAGGAATTACCACTTACTCTCATCTGTGCTACTGTATAAAGGTCAGGAGACAGGGGAAGGCAACTAAAAGGGCTTCATGTGCATGTCTCTCATTGGCCCCTCAACCACCTGAAAGTCAAGCATTGCCTTCTTCTTCACCACTCAGGAAGCTGACATTCAGCAGGATTGTTGATTACATAGCCAAGTGTCAGAGTGAGGAAGGGGCCTAATTATAATACCTCCAAAGCCCAAGCTCTTGTAATACCTCTGTCCCAACCTATCCTGACACCATCAGCCATCGGCTTCTATTCCACCACAGTGACATTTCCTTCAGGTTACCTCAGCATGTTGTCCTGATGAGAACATCCAGTCTACCTTGGTCACATGTTTCTCTTCTGTGCTCTGGAAAACACATCCCATCAAAGCTGTATCACCCACATGGACGATCAATTCAGGAGAAGAAACACTCCAGTCATTTAGGCCCAAAGAATAACCTACAGAAGCAAGAGGACATGACATTTAGACAAGTACCTTCAACAACCAAAATCAGTTATCAATCACCAGGTGCTATACACATTCCCTCCTTGATAATCCAAATGGGTCAAGCACTCAGAGACCCCTCATTAAAACCAGCATGGCAACCCCAAGAATAAGTGAAATACTCTCTGGTTGCCTTCATTTTTCAAGTCTGCAGGGGTCTATGATCTTCATACTGCAATAAATGCTATCTGGCTCCATTCTCCTAGCTAGTCTCCCCTTTTCTAGAATTTCTCCTGTAAAGAAAGGAAACCCTGAAGTCCCTTCTTTCTGATCATCACTTAGAAACTCACATCCACTTACCATAAACAGGAAATGGAATGTTTCTTGCTCTTAAATTCCCCACTGGTTCCCTATCTGAATGGTCAACCCACTGGTATTTTTTTGTTCTCTTCCTCTTTTCCTTTTCTTCAGTTTCTTCACAAAAGCTTATCCCTGCATGTGCTGTCTGATTCTGGCTACAGAACAGGTCCTTGTAAGTAGGCCAAAGCAGAGCACAGCTTTTCCTTGAATTTCCTTTGTTTGCCCTCCTCCACCTCACCCCACTCCAGCTTTGCCATCAGTCCTGACTTTTCAGCCTTTAGGCATTTACAACATGGACCCCTCAAAGCTGTAATCTGTATGTTGCTCAAGAAATTGCAAGAGGTCACTAAAAGAGATAAACATTACATGGACATCTCTGTTCTCACAACATATGCTCCATGCACAGAAAACAATATCTAGAGAGACAAATTTAGATGCTGTCCAGTTCATATCAAAGAAGAGCCAAGCGAACACATATGGAAATGAACAACAAAAAAAAAAAAAACATGTGCCGGCCTTTTCATCCAAGCTGTCTCCCTGGGAGGAGAGAGCTAACTTCCTGCCCAACAGCAGGCTCCCACAGTAGGGAGGACGGAAAAGAAAACGTGAACTCTACACCCTTCGAAGGGAGTTGTTTTTAAAGAAATCAAAAACAGCTCTAACAACTATTTGGAATTTTCCTGTGAGGAAGAACGGAGCAACTGTGTGTGTGGTTAAAGGTGTAAGAACTGGATTTAATTTAATATTAAAAGCTCTGCCTGGAGAATTAAGTGAAAGATTGCTAAAAGACAATTGCAGCGACCAAAGCAAAGAGAAACCAAGGTGTGAAAGGTCACGTTAGTAGAGATGTGACTGAAGAACAGGAGGCATTCTAAGGGAAGCAGAACCTCTCCACACAGAAGTACAAAGCCCCGTGGTGCCACCAAGTACTCCATACAGGGGTTAGATTGGAAACTCCCTAGACAGAAGGGCAAACACCTACAGGCTGCTTCACAAATCTGGGTGGAACTGGCTAAATGCCCTCTGAGATAGTGACACCCCTGTTTCTGTGAAAAAATTCTCCAACACACACTATTTTCCTGTGTGTGTCTACATATTTGTGCACTCTCTATATTTCCTGGAATCGGAGTAAAGGCAACCTTTTTGTGTGCTTTGTTGAGTCAATGTTTAGTTCATTGTTCATAGTTTAACAAATAATAATAAAGACCTGGGTGTAGTGGTTCATGCCTGTAATCCCAACACTTGGGTGGCACAGGTAAAAGGCCTGGGAGTTGGAGGCCAGCCTGGGTTACATGCATAAGACCCTGTCTCAAAAATAAATAGCTCTAAGGGCAAAGCACCCTAATTAATTTCTTCCTCCTACAAAGCTACATCCACGGAATAAAGAGAAAGACAGGGAGAAGAAAGAATAAAAGAAAATTAGGAAAAAGTGGAGATGAGCCACAGGAAGCAGCCCTGGGTACTTGGGGGAGGTCTGACAGGAAACTCCCACCTGGTCTGAGGACAAGGCCAGACCAGTTTAGCAGAAGGAAGTAGAGCTAAAGGGAATCCCAAAGTATAAGGAAGCCTTGAGCAGGCTTGCTGTGTGGTGAGGTGCTGGAGGAAGGAGGGAAGACTCCAGTCAAAGGAAACAACCACAAACTGGGAAACACCTTCCTGGATTTAGGAACCACAAGAGGCCTAGCGTGACAAAGACATGAGAATTACGAAAGGGATCGTGGGCTTCTCTTTAGCAATTTCAGTTCCAAATCTGAGACCAGCTGTGCTTTAGAGATAATAATTTAAAGTGCAGGCAGGCCATAGAGAAACTTGCTTTGTACTGCACAAGAAGGTCCAAGAACACCCAGTAAGGGACCAAAGATACCCAAAGATAGAAACAAAGGAAGGCTCAGTCTTCAAGAAAGAGTCTGCCACCTGCTTCTAAAACAGCTGCTTCAGCAAAACTATGAAGTTCCAAATCTGGGTTTCCATTTTTTTTTTTTTTCACAAATCAGAGGGAATTGAAAGTACATAAAATTGGCTTTTCAAAATGCACAAGACTTACAAGAAATCAAATCCACCCTTGGTCCCTTGGCTTCCACTTACCGAGTAACACTGGAATCAGGATGAGTTTCAGTGGGCAGAACATGCTGCTCTCAACTTTTGGATCTTAAGAGAAAAGAAAAAAAAAATCAGAACGTCATATCCAGAGAAGTTCCTAAATTTAACAAACCAACAGTGAGGGCCTCTGTAGGCCAGTCTCTGTGTGAGGTGCTAGGAAGCAGCACTGAACAAAAAAGACAAGATCTGGGTTCAAGGCAGTTTGCCGGTGGAGGGTGGACAAAAAAGAAGCAACAGACTGAATAAATAAGAAAACACCAGATGTTGACAAGTGCTATGATGAAACAAAACAGTGATGTTTAGATAGTCACTTGGGACTGTTTTAAATTGGCCGTAAGGGAAAATTAGATGAAAGTTGCTTTTCAAAGAAAAAAACAAAAACAAAAACAAATGATTGCAGGATGCCCCACCCCGTTTTTTTTTTTTTTTTTTTAGTACTAGGGATTGAACCTAGGCTCTCAGGCTTGCTAGGCAAGTGCTCTGGACTTAAGCCATGCTCAGCCCTGCAGGATGCTCTTGAAGTGACATTCCACAACAAACAAAAAATTACAGGATACCCAGACTCAAATTGTCACCTCTCTCTACAACTAAGTCAGAATTATTACTTTTATTGTGGTGCCAGCTGACAATCCCAGAACTCGAGGGGTTGTGGCAAGAGGATCTCCAATTCAAGGGCAGCTCGGGCTACATAGCAAGACTCTGTCTCAAAAAAAAAAAAAAACAAACTACTACTGTTACTCATATGAAGAATGCCCAGCCCATTTGGGAGAGAGATACACAAAGAAGGAAGAATTTTTAACTCAATTAAAGTCAAATTTAGGACACAAAGAACCACATGAAAAGTCTATGGTGGCCTTTTTTATTTTTCAACTTTTTTTTTTTGGAGGTACTGGGGTTTGAACTCAGGGCCTCACACTTGCTAGGCACATGCTCTAACACTTGAACCACTCCACCAGTCCCAATTTTTCCAACTTTTTAAGGCAAGACAGTGTGAGTAAAATTAAGAACTGAGCTGTGCATGTGCAAAATTATTTCTCTAAAGTCTTTATCATCTCTGTTGCACTAACATTCTACATTCACATATAACTCATATAACTACATTCATCAGCTACTAGAAGAAGACTCAAATTGTCTTAATTAAACAGAAGAACCCTAACACCAAGTAGTTACATCTACAACCAGTCTTAGATTCCTAGTTACCACTATGTCTGTCTCAGCTGCGATCCCCACACTCCTGGCCACCCATCACTGGAGGAATTCTGCCTCAGAGTCTGCTAAGAGGAAAGGTCTCTATTGCATTAACAGCCAGTTACCCCACTGCACACAGGGGCCATTTCCATTTGTAAAAAGTGATTGGCCTAAGAGATTACTTGCCAGTATTCTAATCGATAAAATCCTCCACCTGGATAACCAGGATCAAACTGTTCCAGGAGGTTCCTTCCCTAGGTCATAGTTGACCTTCCTCACCCATAACATGGATAGTAATTGTAGTACTAGACATGCTACTGCAGATAATAGTGCTTTCAAAAAGAGGGAGCATCACCACAGAATTCATTTTCTATAACCTAAGAGCCAAGAAAACAAGTTGGTGGTTTTAGGGACGATTTCAGGTTCTGATCTTCTACCTTTGTAAGAATGGCAAATGATGAATCAGAATGAACTGGAAACTCTGAAGTTTCCATTTTGAACCCCACTATAACAATGTGGGTAATAATCACATTGATCTAGACATATCAGGAGTCACAGTGAGTTCCCCCAAACAGACACGCCTCTGACGGAAACACAGATCTCAAGACAGCCATAGCCCTATTCCTGCTCCACGCAGCCTACCTCACCCCATACATACAAGGATGATAGTCATAATGGGCTTCCTTTAAAGCATGTCCTATCTGTAGTTCATTGTATTAGGACTGTCACCTTCTGGATGAATTGTTCCCCAGGGAGCTGGTTGTGCTCCCTCTCCTGCCCAGCAAACAGCACTTATTACTCAGCACTCAAACATTCCCCCAGCAGTGCACCATTTACATATCTGTCATCAATTCCTGCTCAAATCTGTATACTCTCAAAGACAGGACCATGTGTGTTTTGCTTGTATTTGTGCCCATTCTTGAGTTACAGGACCTGTAAAGTGCCTGGCACCTACTGGATAAAAGTTCATTGCTAACCATATGACCATTATATTGAAATCAACTTCCAGGAATCCTGCAACCCTCCCCTACCACACTGTAAAAGGAAAGCAGCAATTTAAAAGGACCAAGTCTAGTTATCGAGTCTGACTCACAGCCACACCCAATCACTTTCTAACAAAGTCTAGAACATGTGCAAACAATCTGATGAACAGAGATACCCATTTTCTACCCTAAATACTCTAAATGTCCAGTTAAAGCTCTGTGTGAATGAAGAGAGAAGCAGTGATTTTAGCAGGGAGAGCACTGAATTGGAGTTTTTTGTTTGGTTTTGTTTTTTTAATCTTCCTCAGGGCTCAGACCTGTTAACTATTTGATTTTTGGGAAAATCACTCAACTTCCTCAGCCTCATCTTTAACATTAAAGGATCAGACTTTTTTTTTCCTAGTTAATAAAGAACTACACTAGCAATCAGGAATTGGTATGCAATAAACCAGAGAAGGCTGTATAGGTAGGCACTATCTCAGAAATTCACCTTGTTAACTCACTTAATCCTCACAACACTGACATGTCTTGCAGATAACGAAACTGAGGCACAGAGGGGTAGAGTAAGTTGCCTAAGAACCTGTTAGGAGCCAGATTCCAAAGCCAGGCCTTCTGGATCTGAATCTGTGTCATCACACTGTATAAGTACTGCTTCTCCGCCTTTGTAAAAGTAATTAGTATTTTATTTTTTTTTGTAGTGCCAGGGTTTGAACTCAGGGCCTACACCCTCAGCCACTCCACTAGCCCTTTTAGTGTTAGGCATTTTTGAGATAGGGTCTAACGCACTATTTGCCTGGGCTGGTTTCAATCCATGATCTTCCTGAACTCTGCCTCCTTAGTAGCTACGATTACAGGCATGAGCCACCAGCACACAGCTGTACTCAGTATTTTAGTATGAAGTTTCTAAAGCTCCCCTTGACTGAATGCTCTTCTAACCATCATTGCTCATGCCTTCACCTCTTACCTCCTGTTTATCTCTATAAGTGAACTTAAATGTCATTTCTTGCCAGGCTCACACCTATACTACTTTGGAGGCAGAGATCAGAAGGATCACAGTTTGAAGCCAGCCTGAGCAAACAGTTCAAGAGACCCTATCTCAAAAACACCCTTCACAAAAAAGGGCTGGTGAAATGGCTCAAGTGGCAGAGTGCCTGCCTAGCAAGTATGAGATCCCACTACCACCAATAAATAAATCACTGTCATTTCCTTAGGCAAATCTCTCCTCAACAATCCATCCTACATCAGATCCCCTAGCCACATGTCCTAACAGTACTATTTATCTTTAAAACATTTGTCACAACTTCTAATTATCTATTTATTTGTGTGCTCAACTGATTAAAGTGTTGCTCTCTGCCATATTCCCCAAGACTATAAGCTCTAGGAAGCCTGTGTGCCACTGCATCTTCAGTGCTAGCATGGTATGAGATGCAGAGAAGCACTCAGTCACTACTTGTCCAATAAGTCCCTGACACTGTGGGCATTTCCCAAGAACACTCTAGTCAAGTTTAAATTTCATAGTTCAAATTCGTAAGAATTTCAAATATTCATAAATTCTTATTCAGCTATCTATCTATATACACACACATATATATCTCTATATACACGTCATCACGCATCACTTAATGATAGGGGTACAGACTGAGAAAGGTGTCATTTGGTGATTCCATCATTGTGTAAGTATCATAGTGCATATTTGAACAAAGATGGCTACATCTTTACACGAGGTGATGTAATCCTATGAGACCACTGCTATACATTGACTAAAAGGTTATTTGGTACATAACTTATATACAGACGTGTATACACATACACACATATTTTAGATTATGTTTGTGTATATATACGTATAGATATGCCTGAATATCAAAATTCTGACTCTCATATATATATATGTGTGTGTGTGTGTGTGTGTGTGTCTGTTTTTTAAAACCCAACAAAATCATTCAGAAAAACCTTAAACACCTTGATAAGAGACATAGTTAAAACTCTCACCTACATGTTGCTTCCTTCTCTTTCCAGAGACTTGGATATTCTTCAAATAATGCTGCATAATAAGCTATCTCACATGTTGATCAGATATTTTGACCTGAGCTCAGGGCTCTTTCACAATGTAACTCGTGGAAAATATCTGCCATCACTCCTGAGGGTGTCATTACCAGGATTCCCCTTTCCTATAATTAATAGTTTAGGGCTATGTGCCAGGGAATCACACCTGTAATCCTAGCAACTTGGAAGGCTGAGATCAGAAGGATCACAGTCCAAAGCCAGCCTGGGCAAATATTTTGAGAAACTCTATCTCAAAAAAAACCAGAACAAAATGGACTGGAGACATGGCTCAAGAGGTAGAGTGCCTACTTTGCAAGCTCAAAGCCCTGAGTTCAAACCACATTCCCATAAAAGAAAATAATTTAGAAAAATTGTTATATTTGGCCTAATTTTATGATAAGAATAAAAACTTCAGAAAAAAGACTTATGACAATAAGACAATCACACACGATATGAAAATGATCCCCAAATATGAAAACATTACAAGACAAAATAAGGAAGAGGCACTATCTCCCAGTCAAAATGTTTGCCCCTAGTAAAGGCAACTAAACACGGAGCACACAAACAACTAAAACTTTCCCTCACTCATGACCCATACCACCATGATGCTAAGTTCTCTCAACTTCCCTACCCATTCCTGTGTATCTTCAGGTTCTCAGATGTTTGTAAACATACAAGTCCATGTAGACACTCTGGGATAGGAACCTCTGAAAATACACTCTTTTTTTTCTCTATGTAATACAGACTGGGAAACTTCATAGCTTCTGTAACACTGTCTATGTTACATAAACCAACATTCTACTCAAATGGGACCTTGGAAGTCATTATGTTCTCCTGCTCTCTCCAGACCAGATTCTACCTAAGCCAGCCTGCCTTGGTCTTTCCCAAGGTCAGAGCTATACTAGGGTGTGATAAGTAAGGTCAACAGCCTAGCTCTCTTGGGAGAGTTTAGTTCCTACCTTGGAAAGGTTAAATATTGAGTTTCCTAGAATGGGGAGAAGAAAAACAGTGAGGGAAGAGTCCTGTCAAGAGCTCAAGGACAGCCAGTCACAGCTCTATGTAAAGCCATAGGCAATTTAAAAGCTGAATTCTTGTTGGGTGTGGTGGTACATGCCTGTAATCCCAGAAACTGAGAGGCTGAGAGAGGAGGATCAAGAGTTCTAGACCAGCCTAGGCTACATAGTGAGGCCCTGTCTCAAAAAAACAAAAATAAAATAAAGGGCTGGCGGTGTGGCTCAAGTGGTAGAGGACCTGCCTAACAAGTGTGAGGCCCAGAGTTCAAATCCCCAATACTGCCAAAAAAATAAAATAAAAAATAAAAATAGGCTGAAGCTTTACTGCTGACCTCTTTTATTGCAAGTGACCCTTATTTCTCTTTTCTCTGAGGATTTTAACATAGTCTACAATACAGAAACTAAAACTGCACCCTTTGGACTACTTTAGGATAGCTCCCTACAGAGACCAAGAGTTCTGTGACTGGCCATGCATATCCTGAAGGGTTGCCAAATAAATCAGTCTTCCTCTGAGGAGAACCAGACTTCTACTGAGAAAAGTCCAAATAATGGCTCATGACACCCAAAGCATTGCTTACCCAAAATGAAGGCACCCAGGAGAAGCGATGCACCGAGCTCCCCCACCACTGCAGTTCCCACAATGATTGAAGACATTCTGCCAGCACACTAGGTCAGGCTCACAGCAGACCACATGTGTGCGTGCAATCTGAGGTGGCTGCAGAGACACAAACAGGAACCTCTAAATCAAGGTTCTCCTTTCAGTCATTTGGCCCAATACCCAGTCCTCCAACTCGTCACCTAACCATGTGTTATCAGCATTTCCAGCACACAGGCAACAAGTTATTCTCCTAGGGAACTCCTTGGGTGTCTTAGCTATCCTAGATAAAGAGCTCAGGGCCTCTTCACTTCAAGAGATCTCTCAGTCTTGTCTCACTTCTTCAAAATAAGTGTTTTTGATACACACACTTTCACCCCTATTGGTTTGACCCAGGCCTGGCATGCTCAACTTATGGAATCTCAAAGATCAAGCTGAATGGTCCTTGTATAAACATTCCCACCATGGCCTATTTCAAGCCACCAACAGTTTAACAACTGGCTCACAAAATTTCTAAAATATAATAATCAACTCTTGCTGTGTGACTTGGTTCTTGTACACCACCACATCTATACAGGTTCTTGCTGCGGTACAGCTCAGACTCTTTGCTCAATGCTGGAAACCACAAACCCCCCTTTCTTTCACAAGACACATCTCATCTTACATGTAAATAAACACCAAAAGGTAGCCAGAAAATGCAAAGAAGTTTATTAACTGTGATAGAATAAATATACCATTAGTTACATTGTCTATGCATGTAGCCCAACAGTGCACATCCTCCTACAAAACAACAAACAAACAAAGGAAAAGGCATATAGTAGTTAACAGTGGAGTGAGTCAAAGGAATAGAGCTGCCTCTTCTGGCAGCAAAGTTTTGTAGTAGTGCAATCAAACAGTCTTGTCCACTCTGATGGGTCTTCTTATAGCTCCCCTTTAGGACCATAACTGAATGACACAGTAGAACATTCAGGTTCATGATTTGGCCTCCAGAAGTTTGTTACTTTTTTTTTTTAAGTACATGCAACCTTCCTTCTTGAAGCACAAGTGATAGATTCAGGAGCTGCAGAGGACTCTAATGTTCCCCCAAGTGACCTGAAATAACAGGTCATGAAAGAAACACAAAATACTTTACAAGTTCAAGTCCTATAACAGAATGAAGAACCTAGTGCATAAAACTCATTGGGCAATGTAACCATGAGAAAAGACTTGCATAGTCAAAGCAAAATTCTGAAGAGCCCCTTCTGAATCACATTCTCTTTCTAGACAAGGCTGGTCTACATATGGGCTGACAACAGTCCATTGAGCAGCAAAAAGTAAAAAGGGTAGGGGAGTAGCACCTTAGAAGATATTAAAACAGTAGGTTAAATGGGCAAACAAACAAACAAACAAACCCATTTTATAGTGCTTTGTTTTCCTCTGGAGGAAAAAAAATACTGCAACCCAAACCTCAATATAAAAGGTAAAGAAAGAAACTTAGGGCAGCTTATGACTGAGATGTGACTACGAACCCATAGAGCAGAATGAATTACCAATTTACTCCCTTGCTATGAAGGATTCTATTGTTCTGTCATTAAAAAGAAAAAATGGAACTGGTTCAGATCACGTTTAAGGCTACAAAATAGCATGGCCTCTTCCACAGACACACATGGCCAGAGGTAAAGCACAACCTCTATCAACTAACCAGATTCTGTGGACTAGGTTAATAATGGCAGCCAGGCCAAATCTATGAGACAGAATTAAAGACCCAAATTTCTAAAATAAGTCCTTGGCAGAAAACATAAAAGTGATATTTTAAATAAAATACATAGTATATAATGCTCCTTCTGAGCAACCTAGAAAATAACCATGGAAACACACCATCCTCTTGAAAAACAAAGGTAGGAGAAGGGGTAATTTCTGCATGTCATAATTGAGAAGTGAACCCTACCACTACTAAGTGGACTACTTACACAAATGCTGTCAATCCTTCCTGACATGTCAGATGTATGTAGTAATGGCTTATAGAAAAACACATATAAATTAAATGTTGGGATAGGTTGCTATAAGAATGGAGAAATGTGTTATAAGTTATTGAGAGAAAAGGAGATGAATGTATATGTTACCTACAACCTTACTTCCTCATCTCCAATATTATGCAAAAACAGCTTGCAAATACCATAGTTTACACGTAACTGGTACATTTTAGAACTTGAAAAAGTTCTGAACAACAAATGAAAAGATTTAATTATAAAGAACTGCTAAAATATTCTATACATCCCCACTAAAATCCCTTTTAAAGAGGTTTTTTGTTGTTGTTATTCTGTTTTGTTTTTTTTGGCCTCAAACCTGCAAAGTCAAGAAGGAAACCACAAGTTAGTCAGCTATAAGAACAAAAACTCCTTGGCCCAATTGCACCTAGCAAGACAAGGAAAAAGTTCCTTTATCTCACCATTCCTTTCTTTAACTGTAAATTGATGACACTTTAATACTTTAAAAACCCAGTCAAAGCAAACTACTGATCTTACCAACTCTAAGGAAATTAGAATTGAACACTCCAAGTACCTCAATACAATTGTTGATGAGATAATTAAACCAGGTAGTATATGCTGAATACCAAAAAGATCTCTATCCCAAACAAGCATTTTGTCCAGCAGCATAGTGCCAGGAAGCTACAAGCTCTACTTCATTAAAATATATTATTTTGGCATCAGAACTATAGCAGACATTCAGGTCCTTCAAATAACTGGAAGAAAACCTGTAATACATTCAATAGCGAAGGTAAACCAAAAAGCATCTTTCTGTTCTGGAAAAGAAGTTCTTCATTCGATAAGAGTATAACTTATTAAAATCTGAAGTCATGAGTCTCTTCTGAGAGTTTCTCAACAGTTTATAAATACAAAAAGAACATTTCTTCAATAAATAAATGGATCCTAAAGTCTTTACTAATGACCTCCAGAATCCCCCATCACTGTTGCCTGGGCCAGCTCCCTCCTCTGAGAGGTGTTGGTGGCCATGGGAATGGGATATCTTCTGTTATTAGGTAATCCTTCTTACATCATGCAGACTTTCATCAGTATGTATCTTCATAGTCTGAATCCTGGAGGGGAGAGAACAGTAGGTGTGGTTATATGTGAAATACAGTATCACAGTCAGAATTCAGGCTAAGACCGTATGTTTGGGTCCTCCAAATGGAACTCAGCTTAGGATGACAAGATCAAGTGCCACTGACTTCACGCACCTTAACTCCTACAGCACATCCTAGAACCTCAACACAATGTGTCTGTTCAGATAATTTCTACTTTGAAGCACTCAAAACTCCCATTTCCTTGGTAAATATTTTTATAAACCTCAACATATTCTGCATATGCTTGAGATTAGAGTTTAGAGTAGGAGTCAGTCTACCTCTGAGTCCCACCCTTCGCTGGTTGTGGAATTTTGGATAAAGTATTTAACTCTGAGACTCAGTTTCCCATGTTGTCTCTCCCATTTTTCCACATGAACATGCAACATCAGTAAATCCTGCCTTTACCTTCAAACCAGAGGGATAAAACAGCCACTTCTCACTATCTCTACCACCAAATCACTACCATCTTCTCTCACCTGCATCATAGCTAATAACCTCCTAATGGCCCTGTACCATCCATCTTCAATGCAAAACCTAGGAAGATACTTTTAAAACACACATCAATTCATAGCACTTCTCTTCTCAACCCCTCCCATGAATTCAGCTTCATTTAGAATAAAAGTCCAGCCACTGCAGTCCTCTATGAAGGACTATAAAATCTACCTGCTGCATCTCTCTTATTTTAACAAATTTTCTTCTTGCCTTCCTCTCTTCTTTCTTGCCACACTGCCTCCTTGCTGTTCCTAGAACACCTGCCATTTCTGCACCTGCCACTTCTCTCCCTAAAATGCTACTTCACAATAGCCATCTGGTTTGCTATCTACTTCTTACAGGAGTTTGCTCAAATACCATCCTACTGAGGGTGTTTCTAACTGTCCTATTTAATATCACATCCCTAATAGCACATCCCTTCTCACTTTTGTGTTTAATTTTCTCCATAGCATTAAATACAACCTGCTATACTGCATATTGTACTTATTTTTTTTAAATTTAGTCAGTATTTGTACCCCAAATCAAGAGACAGTGACATTTCAGCTGGGTATTAGAGGATGAGAAGGTTTTTCGAGTGAAGAACATTAAGTTCTTTGAGGGCATGAACTTTTATCAGTTTTGTTCACTACTGTCCTATGTACATAGGACATAAGGCCCATGTCAGTTACTCAACAAATAATCTTGAGTAAATTAATATCAGACATGTGGATAATAACCACACAAACATTAACTCATTTTGCAAAATCAGAATATTCAAAACCTGAAGGGTTGGTATTAGGTCCTTCCTCTCCCCTGGACCAATAACCTTTCTCTCATCTTATGATACGATAGAAAAACAAAGAGGAGGCAATGAATGATCTGGCCCAGTGCTGAGCTTGGCCATAAGTACAAAAAGGGCTCAAGTGCAATCCCAGAAATGACAGGTACATTTCACACTAGATTATAAGTTGCTCTTGACTTGTTTCTAACTGTACCATATCAGAGAGGCTTCCCTCCTCCTTCGATTCCAGGACAGCCACCACACAAGTCACAGCAAGAGCTCACACTGGGAAGGATGACAAATTTTGAGATTTAAATCCAAACTGGGGCCTTCCAACATGGTGTTTCTTAGTGATAAAAGACATCAAGTTACCAAAAGGTCTATCACTCTGATTCCCTGGAAAATACCAGGCTCAGCAGAAAAGTTAAATTCAGGGTTCTGAAGCCAGTGAGTCAAAGTCTCCTAGGATGAATTTAGTGGTCTTAGGAACTCTTTTATCAGGACTTTCTATAAGTCAGCAGAGAATGCTCTACACAGCCCCCTTCCCTAACCTTAAGCACCATTCTATGCCTATGAGACAGAAATCAAATCAAAATCATGCTGAGAGACATAGGGGTACTCAGAGACCAAAATACTTTGGGGAAAGTTCATCCCTTCCTTGGAGTTACCTGCATATCACCTTGTTGCCTATGAGAGTGAAGGATCCCCTTAGGTAGGTGGAAAAGTGAGACATCAACATTAAACAGAAGAAACGTCAGGGACTTACCAGGCACTCAGCACAACGGACACAAAGCCTCGGCATGCACTCATCTTTCTCTTCCTGGTCAGTGCTGTGGAAAAAGCACAAGCCAAATCCCAGTTGTTGCTATACTCATCTTAGGGGAACAGTTAAAAGATCAGGTATTGAAATCACACTGGTCTGGTTTTAGATCTCAATTCTGCCATGAAGTGGGTAACCGGACAAACTACTCCAACTCCAGGAGCCTGTTTCCTTATCTATAAAATACAGGTATTACCATGTATTCTTAAAGTATAATGGTTAGGAGTTAATACATGTGAAACAGTATCACAGTGCCTGGCATAAATGCCCAATAAACAGCAGCTAGTCATAAATTCATCCATAAAAGTACTGAGAACCAACAATTCTTGAGCCATTATGCTAGTCTGGGAATAAAGAGATAAATAAAACCTGGTCTCTTAAAGAAAGACAATCTCATGGGGGTAAGAGACCTATTATAAATTTAACAAGTACTTTATAATACACTGTGATAAATATTTTAACAGAGTTAGGGTGAATCTGCTGTGGCAACAAAGGCAGGGACTATGACTGATTTTCTCTTTGGGACTCAGGGAGCATCAAGAGAAGGGAATGTTTCAGCTGGGTCTTGGATGATGAGAAAGAGCTTGCAGACAAACAAGAAAGGGAAAAAGGACATTCCAGACAAGAAAAGAGCATGTGTCAAGGCATGGGGGAATACACACACACACATACACATGACTGTAGTATGTCTAGAAGAAATAAGCTCACGATAGCTGGGATGAGAATAAGAGCAAAAGGCAGAAAACAATGTGACTTACAGCTGGATCCTAAAACATCTTGTAAACATACTTAGAAATAGATATTATTTTTGCCAACAGTTCTTGACCTTTTGGGGGCTGACAGATTCTTTGTAAGGGAACTCTTTTAGTAATAAGTAATGAACATACACAGACAAAAGACTTTGGACCCTCTCACAGTAAGATTTCCTACCCTACCTTAAGAACTCTGAATACAGACAATGAAGAACTCACAGAGATTTGAGGTAGATTTCTATTACTTTCTTTTTTAGCAGATTTCTTTTTAGGGAAAATACTGGATCATGCCTGCTTATCGACAGAATAGTGTTGAATACACACTTTTGATAAGCACAATTGGTTCAGCCTCTTCAGAGCATATGCTGAATAAGAATAGTTCTGGTTCATTTAAATCATCTTTGTCCTTCACAGCTATTCTTAAAGCCTCCCTCATTGCTCATGCATTTTCTGTCAGGAGACATCAGCTCTGTGCCAAAGTGAGAAAGAGAGAGAGGGACTAAGGGAGACAGACTGAGAGAGAAAAGGAAAAAACTGACTTGGAATTTTCTCTAAATTTTGAACAAGTGAGATATATGTATTTCAAAATTTATATTCAGAGCCATAGCACTGTAAATCTGATTTCCAAAGCAGAAGACTAGGACCATACTATCAACCCCTCCAGCTCTCTCCAAATCAATATCCATGAGTTTCCTTTTTAACCTGCCTTCTGGTACTCCTCATGAACTATTCCATTCGAAAGGAAACTTCTCCAGCAGAACTAACTTCAGTTTAGAAAAAAAGGTGTGCGGATATGAGAGTCTGGATACTGTCCACAAAGCAGAGCTCTGAAGAGGAAATGGACTGACTGCTCAGGGTTCCAATGGGACTTACTCATCTGAAACTTCAATAGAAGACTTCTTATAGCCAGACTTGCTCCTCTTCTTCATCTCCGCAGCCTTCCTCCCCATTCTCAGCAGGAGCAGAACAACTACCACTGCTGAGGGAATGAAGATAAGAAAGGAAAGAAGGGCCACAGAGGACAGCATGGTGCCAAAAACTAGAGGAAACACAAAAGAAAAGGTGAAGAAGAAGGGTGTATACACAAAAGTACAATGAAGATAAAAATGTGGCTATAATTCCACTGCAGAGGAGTAACACATTGGTATCTCCCAATTCAATCTTCTTTCAAGGGGTACAGGGGTGCATGTGGGGGTAGAGTATACATTCTTAGAAGTATAAATCATATTTTACATACTATTTTAATGTTTTTACTTAGTATATGACAAATATGTTTTCATGTCATTAAAAATTCCTTCTAGATATGTCTGAGAGCTGCCTGATATTCTATCATGATATTAAATAACTTATTGAATCAATCCTCTAATGCTGGACATTCAAGTTGTTTCAAATTCTTTGAATCCATAATTCATATTAAGGTGACCATCCTTATACATAAATCTTTACACTTAGCTCTGTTTGCTTAAGATAAAATTTCAAAAGGGAATTACGGGACCAAAGGGCATATACTTTCAAAAAATAGGACTCCTGCTACCAAACTGCCTCCCAAAAACCGATTATCAGTTTCCATTCCTGCCAGAATTATGATTGTGCCCATATGAGCTACTGTTGAAAAACAAAGACAAAGATGATGAAGAAGAAAGAAGAGTAGGAAGAGAATGAGGAGAAGGATGAGAAAGAGAAAAAAGACAGGGAGACAGAGAGAGAAAAGAAAGAGGAAGAAGAGCAGGAGGAGGAAAAAAGAGGGAGTGATAAGGCAGGCAGGCAGGCAGGCGGGAAGGAAGGAAGGAAGGAAAGAAGGAAGGAAAGAAGGAGGAAGGAAGGAAGGAAAGAAGGAAGGGAAAAAAAAGGGAGTAAATTGTATGCACATATGAATAATAAAAAAATAAAAATTAAAAAAATAAATTAAATAAAAGGGAGTAAAAGCAGGGAAGGAAAGAGGAGAGGAAGGAAGGAAAGAAGGAAGAAAAGAAGGAAGGAAAGAAAGGAGGAAAGGAAGACCCAAGAAATTATACAGCAACTAAATGAATCCTAATGTATCTTTAAGCCTCTGGTTCAAATCCAATTATGAACTAGAATGACCACTTTAATAGTCACCAGGGGCAAATTTTTTAAGTTATTTCCAACTTCCTTTCCACTATTTCACACTAAAAGGAAACTGCTGCTCTTTCCAGCAAGAAAGAAATGCAGTGCCTCCCACAGTCAGAGGGAGTACCCTTTCAAGCTATGGGCAAGTACACTGTCTCATAACTGGGAGTATGAGCATATTAGGGAAACTGGAATGACTTCTATTTCACAGAGATAACAACCTCCATTTACCTCAGGGATTCGCCAAACAAACCACAAGACCTTTGGTCACCTGATGTAAAAACGAAAAGGGAACAGGAGAGAAACTATGGCAATATTTGAAGAGAAAATTCAGTTTCAAAATAAAGGTTAAAAATTCACCTTAACAGACTAGATAAATCAAGATGGCAGAAAAATAACTTGATACAATGATCCAATGGCCTAACTGGTGCACAAAGACAGATGGCTTTGCTTATCAAGCACTTCAGAAAGCTCCAGAGCAGTGGGAGACCACTAGAGAAGGCTGGTAGTAATTAGCTTACCCCTTTCTGTGACCATCAGCTCTGTCATGGGAATATTATGGTGCACATCTGGGGGATTCTTCACAGCACAGCTGAAGGTTCCATTGTCCTTCAAGGTAGGGTTGCGGATGCTTATGGATGCATCTCCTTTATATACGTCTCCAGCCCAGGAGATCCGATCCCGAAACGTGCCTGCTGTGGTTGGGTACTGGAAAGACTGATAATGAAAAATCTAAGAAAGTAACACCATGAGAAAAAAAAGTTAATTTGGGAAATGCAGTGAAATGTAAAACTAAGTAGGTCTAAAGTAAAAAACTACTGAATAAAGGTTTCTTTTCTTTTTTTTTAATGCTTTTCTACCTCCACCCTTCAAGGAGAAAGATAGGTCAATAAAACTGACCAAGTCACTCTCCCTCTGGAGATGACCTGCTTTCAATTTATTGAAAAGTATACTCCTCTCCTAATAAACTTTGCTATCATTTTTACTAAAAAACAAACAACAATAAAACTGCGAGGCATGGTGGCACACAACTGCAATCCCAGCACTCAGGAGGATGAGACAGGAGCACCACAAGTTCAAGACCAGCCTGGGCTACACAGCAAAATCCTGTCTCAAAACAACAAAAACAAACAAACAAAAGAAAAACCTGATCAGAAAAAGGGCTGATGAAAGAAGCCTTGGGTCCTAACCCTCAAATCTCTGTTAAATTCTATTACTCTAAAGCAATTAGCTTTCAACAAGGGGCAATTTTGTTCCCCACAAAATATGTGGCAATATCTGCAAAGTTATTTTTTCATTTTTAAATTTTATTATTTATTTTTAGTTGATAAATAATAATGGTACATATTTATGGAGCACAAGGTGAATTTTTTTTTTGTAGGGCTGGGAATGGAACCTAGGGCCTCACACATGCTAACCTATTCCACTGAGTTATATTCCAAGCTATTTTTACTTTTTTAAGGAACCTCCACACTATTTTCCAAGATGACTGTACCCTGTACTAATTCACACTCTCACCAATAGCTGTTACAATTTATCATTTTTATAATAGCCATTCTATAGGTGGAGTTGACATCTCAATGTGGTTTTAATTTGTATTTCCCTTGGAATTTTATGCAGCCATGAAGAAGAACGAAATGTTATCATTCGCTGGTAAATGGATGGAATTGGAGAACATCATTCTGAGTGAGGTTAGCCTGGCCCAAAAGACCAAAAATCATATGTTCTCCCTCATATGTGGACATTAGATCAAGGGCAAACACAACAAGGGGATTGGACTATGAGCACATGATAAAAGCGAGAGCACACAAGGGAGGGGTGAGGATAGGTAAGACACTTAAAAAACTAGCTAGCATTTGTTGCCCTTAATGCAGAGAAACTAAAGCAGATACCTTAAAGCAACTGAGGCCAATAGGAGAAGGGGACCAGGAACTAGAGAAAAGGTTAGATCAAAAAGAATTAACCTAGAAGGTAACACCCACGCACAGGAAATCAATGTGAGTCAATGCCCTGTATAGCTATCCTTATCTCAACCAGCAAAACCCCTTGTTCCTTCCTATTATTGCTTATACTCTCTCTACAACAAAATTAGAGATAAGGGCAAAATAGTTTCTGCTGGGTATTGAGGGGGTGGGGGGGAGAGGGAGGGGGCTGGAGTGGGTGGTAAGGGAGGGGGTAGGGGCAGGGGGGAGAAATGAACCAAGCCTTGTATGCACATATGAATAATAAAAGAAAAAAAAAAAACTAAACTCCCCCCCCCAAATCAATGAACCAATTAAGAAATAGGCAACTGAACTAAACAGAACTTTCTCAAAAGAAGAAATTTAAATGGCCAAAAAAAAAAAAAAAAAAAAAAACCACATGAAAAATGCTCACCATCTCTGGCCATAAAGGAAATGCCAATCAAAACCACACTAAGATTCCACCTCACTCCTGTTAGAATAGCTATCATCAAAAACAACACCACCAACAGGTGTTGGTGAGGATGTGGGGAAAAAGGAACCCTCATATACTGCTGGTGGGAATGCAAACTAGTGCAACCACTGGAAAACAATATGGAGGCTTCTTAAAAAACTAAACATAGATCTGCCATGTGATCCAGCAATACCACTCCCAGGGATATACCCAAAGGAATGTGACACAGGTTACTTCAGAGGCACCTGCACACCCATGTTTATTGCAGCAGTATTCACAATAGCCAAGTTATGGAAACAGCCAAGATGCCCACTACTCACAAATGGATTAAGAAAATGTGGTGTTTACACACATTGGAATTTTACTAAGCCATGAAGAAGAATGAAATCTTATAATTTGTAAGTAAGTGGATGGAACTAGAGAACATCATCTTCAGCGAGGCTAGCCAGGCTCAGAAGACCAAAAATTGTATGTTCTCCCTCATATGCGGACTTTAGATCTAGGGCAAATGCAGCAATATGGTTGGACTTGGGTCACATGCTAAGGGGAGAGCACATATGGGAGGAATGGGGATAGGTAGGAAATCCAAAACTTGAAAGTGATTGATGTCCCCACTGCAGAGGAGCTAATACAGTAACCTTAAAGTGACAGAGGTCAATACGGGAAGGTGACCGGGAAGTAGTGAAGAGGTCAGGTAGAGATGAATCAATTCGGGTTGTAATATACTTGTGCATGGAAGCAATGCTAGGAATCTCTCTGTATAGCTATCCTCATCTGAACTAGCAAAAACGCTATGTCTTTCTTATTATTGTTCATGTCTACTCTTCAACAAAATTGGCGAAAAGGGCAGAACAGGTTCTGCCTGGAAGCGAGGAGGGTGGAGGAGAGAGGGAGGGAGCAGAGGGAGAGAAATGGCCCAAACAATGTATGCACATATGAATAAATGAATAAAGGAAAAAAAAATTTGTATTTCCTTAAGGACTAGAAATGTTGAGTGTTTTTTCCTATATCTTTGACCACCAATTTCTCTTTCGGTTTAAGAAATATCTGCTCAAATCCTTTACCCATTTTAAAAATCAGATTATTTGGTTTTTTGCTATTGAGTTACAGATACTTTTGCTTGTCACAACTGGCATTTAGTGGGAAAAGGCCAAGGACAGTGCTAAATTTCCCACATGGCAAAAGACAGGTCCACCACAAAGATTGCCAGGCTCCAAATGTCAATAGTGCCAAAGTTGAGAACCCTTGCTCTAAAGCAACTCTAACCGGCCTTTGTAGCTTTCAAATGACTTCCACACATTTGCTCACTTGAGCCTCAAAGCAACACTAACCCATATGAGGCAAGTATGACTATTCCACATTTATAGAAAGGTGGACGGGAGGTGTGGCTCAAGTAGAACACATGCCCTGAGTTCTACTCCTGTGGGGAGTAGGGGGTGGGGAGGAAGAGGAAGAGAAGGAGACAAAAGCCTGCCAAGTTTATAGAAAGGGAAACAAGACCCAAAGCAAAAACTAAATGGGTATGGTGGTGCATGCCTAAAATCCCAGCCCTGGGGAGGCTAAGCTCTTCCACATGCAGGCAGATTGCATGTTTGAGGTCAGCCTGGGCTACATGACAAGTTTAACGCCAGCCTGGGCTACATAGCAAGTCCCTGTTTCAAAAAAAAGCAGAAAAAAAAAAAAAAAAAACTAAGTGAGTTATTCAAAGGTTAGTGACAAAGGGAAGATTTTTGGTTTTGTTCAAGATCACTAGGAAGGTGCAATATAAACCAGCCAGCCTCTCTCAAGTTATTTATCTTGGCAGTTAATATATAAACCCCAAGTCAAATGCCAGATAAGTACTCAATGAATGTATGTTGAATTAAAACAATGTTGCTTTGGACTTGGTGATCAGGCACTTCATCACCAAAAGCACCTAATTAAACTTGGAGGTGGGCCAGGCAGGTATGACTAAATGGTATGACTCTTCTTTCTCATGTGAGATGCAAAGCTTTCCTCTTTCTTTGTTTACTCAGAACCTTTTCACTTAGGAAACCAGGCTTTTGTAATCACTGAATTACCCAATTTTGAAGAGCAATTTCTCAGAAAAGATGCTCTATCATTCATTGGTTCATTTGTTCATGCATTCATTCAACAAATATTTAGTACACACCTATTATGTTGTATGCACTGTGTTAAGCAAAGGGATATAATGGGAGTCACATAGACACAGTCCCTACTCGCATGGAACTTCTAGTGCTAAATAGAGATATTAAGAAATGCCAGATACCAGTGGCTCACGCCTGTAATCCTTGCTACTCAGGAGGCAAAGATCAGGAGGATTGTGGTTCCAAACCAGCCCAGGCAAATAGTTCATGAGCCCCTACCTCAAAAATGCTCAACACAAAAAAGAGCTAGTAGAGTGGCTCAAGTGGTAGAGAACCTGCCTAACAAGTGTGAGGCCTTGAGTTCAAACCCCACTTACTATCACCACCAGGATAAAAGGGCTTGAAATTCCTATTGATAAAACAAGGTCTGCTGTGTATCTCTGAGGTTAATCTAAACTCATAAATTCCAGATTAAATTAGTGATACTCAAATCTTTGCTAACTGATTAATCCAACAGAATCCTAACTAACCAGTAATTGCAACAGTACATTAGATGATTTTAAAACTCTACTAATTCCAACAACGCTGGGTTTGCTGATTTTCTGAGCAACCTCATGAGGAACAGTACTATAAAAGAATTCCTGTTTTCAAATAAGGTTTCTGACCCAAGAAGCTCCTCGTTGTTCTGCCCTACTTTTGGCCAAAGAGACCAGGCCAAATAAGGCCAGCCATAGTTTCCTGACTACTCAAAATAAAGTGAACTATTTTAAGTCTAAAGAAGCAGAAACCATGACTGCAGCCTCACTTCATTATAGTCACCTACCTCACTTGAAGCTACATGGTACATAATAATGGCTCCTAAAACAATTCAAAGATTACACATTAAAATTAAAGAGAAAGCTTTTATTTATTTCTATTTTGTTTATTTATTTTATTTGGCAGTACTGGAGTTTGAACTCAGGGCCTCACACTTGCTAGGCAGGTGCTCTATCACTTGAGCCACTCCACGAGCCCTTTTCTGTGATGGGTTTTTTCAATATAGGGTCTCGTGAACTATTTGCCCAGGCTGGCTTCAAACCATGATCCTCCTGATCTCTGCCTCCTGAGTAGCTAGGATTACAGGCACAAGCCATGGACACCCAGAAAGAGAAAGTTTTTAAATTAAAAATATTCTCAAAACTCCAATCTTATATATGACTATGACATTCACATTCTTGGATAGCATCTATCCTGAGTTAAGGACACTGCTGGAGCCATAAAGAGAGTTTTTTTTTATAGTCCTGTAATATTCAATTAGATACCCACAATGGACTTAAATCATAAATGTGTTTTATATGTGTGACTAAAGTATATTGTTTCTAATATTGCAAGACCATCTGATACCAACAACATCTGACTCCAGCACAAGGTGCTACCACTTCCTTCAAAGGCAGCTATATAAATCACTGCAGATGTTTACATACTGGGAGAAGAAGCCAAGATAAATCCACAGAGCAGAGATATACAAACAGATACACCCATCGAGTCAACTTTGACAGGTTTTGAGCAGCTTTAAGAGAAAAGATATCTGTGACTGGGACCTTCAGAATTTTTCTAGCCAGTAATACTAGAGATACACTTCTTATTACATCAAATCTGAAAACAAAGCTATAACACCATCCAAAAAGAAACAACAAGGAGGAAATGAACTTCAACCACATTTCCTCTTAAGTTTTTGATCATTTTTTTTCTACAACAGGTCATGTGTAAGATTCTTATGTGTGAGACTAAAAGGGCCTACCTGATCAAATGAACGTCATACAGGGAAGAAGCCCATCTCCTTCCATTTACATAAAAGCTCATCTTCTATTTAAGAAGGAGGGCATGACTTCCAATAAAAGAATCCCAAAACTGTTGAACACAAAGATTTAAAGAAACTTTCTGAAAAGTTCACACTTACAGATTCTGTGCGACTGCTCCTGGGAGGGCGGTATGTCCAGTCTACGGTCAGTTTGTCAGTGACATCCGAAGTTGACTTGAAGGTGCATTTCAACTTGATCTTTTCTCCAACATAACCTTGGACGTGGGCATCTGCCTTAATCTCCAAGGAAAGGACGGTACACACCCCTAATCAAAGCAAGCCCAAATACTTACAATGTATTCATTTTGGTGTGAGTGGACAATACAGACATGCTATTTATTATTTTTAGAGCCCTCATCAAAAATCCAGGGTAATCAATATCATTTCAGGGAGGCCCACAAGGGACGAGGAGCTGCAGTAATCTAGAGTAGCACTCTTACCATTTTGTAATCATAAATCATAGATTGAATATGAGGGTAAAAATCTAAAACCTAGTCATGCCAGCGTTTTTCCAAACTCAGGCTCATGGTCAAGTGAAATACAAAGAAGCAGGGCTGCCCACAGAATCTAAAAGGCAACAATGCCCACCCATCTCACTACTCTCTCATATACATACACACAGGCTCCAGGAATATGGTAACTTTTGTGGGGTCTAAGGGACTTACCCCAAGTATAGTATGGCTGCAGCATGAAGCTATCACTGCCTCAATCACCAGAAAATGAAAACAGGAAAAAAAATAAATCTTTTTAACTGCCCCAAGGTTTTGCCCCTTTCTTAAAGTTGGTTAATGAATCACACATCCACTAAAAGTAAATTATGGAGTGGAAAACAGAAAATGTGTCTTCTACAATATAAAAATCAGCTCTCATTTTTAAACCCTCCAGAGAATGGTCTTTCCAAAACCACCCATGTCCAACACTGCCATGCCATATCCTTCTTCTACTTTCAGAAAACAAAAGAAAGTTTGCTTCTACTACAGAGTCATATTTTAAGAAATTAAGTTGCTAGCACTTTGATTTTTCCTACTTTCTTATCCACTTCAATAAGCCACGATTGTTCTGGTGGCCAAAGACAAACGGGAGCAAGCGTTCAGAAAAGCACAAACTCACACCCTGTCCTGAAAACCAGTAGTCTCTCTGGCATAGGCAGGATGGTGTAGCCACTGAGCACACAGGCTCCTAAGCTGGAGGATCCAGGTTCAAATCCCAGCCCTATCACTTGCAGGCTCTGTAGTCTTAGCAAGTTACTTCTTCAGTTTCCTTTTCCTTCTGGGAATGATGATAGTGCTCACCTCAGGTCACTGTGAGGAATAAATGAATTAAAACAAACACAACACTGAGAAGCCTACCTACCCTAAGTAAGTGCCCAGTGCATGGTGATATCATCATCACTTGCTTTCTCAACCTTTCCTTCCACAGTTCTGAGTCATCAATTCCACTGACTGCATTTACCACTGCCTACCTCGAATCATTTTCTTGCTCCCCTCTAGACAATCTAGTCTGGTCGCATTCCTCCTAAAAGGAGTCCAAGACTAAGTTCACTAATAAGAACTTTAATAAGATTCTGACCTATCCCAAAGATGAGGATTACTTCTGTTTTGTCCACAGCATCCTTTCTGAATCTGCCATGCTACATTTGTCATTCTTTCTATGCCTTTGCAAATGCTCCCTCTTCCACCTGAAAAACCTTCATCCCTCTGCCCCGACTCTCTCCCAAGCCTTCACTCCTGATCCATCAATGTGAAAAAAAATCCTATTTATCACCCAAGATCCAGGTCTAAACTCTGGAAGGTTGAAATGAATGGATAATCTATACTATCCTAAAATTCAAGTTATAATATAGAGATTTAAAGTATGGGTTTGACCTCTTACACTGTTGGTGGGAATGTAGACTAGTACAACCACTCTGGAAAAAAATTTGGAGGCTACTTAAAAAGCTGGACATCGATCTACCATTTGATCCAGCAATACCACTCTTGGGGATATACCCAAAAGACTGTTACTCCAGAGGCACCTGCACATCCATGTTTATTGCGGCACTATTCACAATAGCCAAGTTATGGAAACAGCCAAGATGCCCCACCACTGACGAATGGATTAAGAAAATGTGGTATCTATACACAATGGAATTTTATGCAGCCATGAAGAAGAACGAAATGTTATCATTCGCTGGTAAATGGATGGAATTGGAGAACATCATTCTGAGTGAGGTTAGCCTGACTCAAAAGACCAAAAATCGTATGTTCTCCCTCATATGTGGACATTAGATCAAGGGCAAACACAACAAGGGGATTGGACTATGAGCACATGATAAAAGCGAGAGCACACAAGGGAGGGGTGAGGATAGGTAAGACACCTAAAAAACTAGCTAGCATTTGTTGCCCTTAATGCAGAGAAACTAAAGCAGATACCTTAAAGCAACTGAGGCCAATAGGAAAAGGGGACAGGAACTAGAGAAAAGGTTAGATCAAAAAGAATTAACCTAGAAGGTAACACCCACGCACAGGAAATCAATGTGAGTCAATGCCCTGTATAGCTATCCTTATCTCAACCAGCAAAACCCTTGTTCCTTCCTATTATTGCTTATACTCTCTCTACAACAAAATTAGAATAAGGGCAAAATAGTTTCTGCTGGGTATTGAGGGGGGGAGCGGGAGGGGGTGGAGTGGGTGGTAAGGGAGGGGGTGGGGGCAGGGGGGAGAAATAAACCAAGCCTTGTATGCACATATGAATAATAAAAGAAAAATGAAAAAAATAAAAATAAAAAAAAATAAAGTATGGGTTTGAAATTAGCCAGACCTGAGAAATAGGTGTAGTGTACACATCTGTAATCCTAGCACTGGAGAGGCTGAGGCAAGAGGACTGGAAATCCAAGGACAGCCTGGCTTCATAGCAAGACCCTGCCTGAAATAAATAAAAATAAATGTAGCCAGACCTGGACCTGAGTCCTGGCTAACACCTTTCTGGCTAAGAGTCCTAGCTCACAGTAACCTAACCTGTTCAAGCTTCAATTTCCTCATTTGGTAAGTGGGAATGGTAAGCAGACCTACTTCTTTGGATCACTATGAAGACCCAGAACAATTTTTAAAAGATACCATATGAAATCCTTAGCATAGCACCGGAATAAAAAAATTTCATTAAATGTTACCTAGTATTATTAAAATGAACACCACACATATTCAAACCCCTTTAATCACTCCCTATTAGCCTATGGAATAAAATCCAAATAGTAACAATCTGGCTCTAAGCTTATGTCACTGTACCATGTACCCACACTATCCCTTGCACGATGCTTGGAATGTCTAAATATATGGTGTCCTTTCACGCCCCCATGCCTTTCTTTGAATATGTCTTTGAAAGACTCTCCCTATCCCTACCAATCCTGCCTGAGTTGTTCCCAACTAGGCCTCATCCTCAATAGTCACACCTTTGAAATCCAGCTCAAATATCAGCTCCCTTTGTGATGTCTTCCCAGATTCCCTGATGAAATTGTTAGTTCTTCAAAGTTCTTTTGCAAGTTTTGCAATTGCAACAGACACCATGTCCTGTGAAGCCTAAACTATTTATTCTCTACCCCTTTATGTAAAAGGTTTGCCAATGCCTGATTTAAAGCAAAGATCTGAATTAGAGTTATAAATCTGAACCTCTGTAGTCTCCCTTCAAACCAACTCTCCACACTGTTATACTTACTTACACACACACACACTCCTTATCTGTGACAGTCTCTATCAAATCCTTTCTAAGTTTCTTCCTTTCCAATCCAATTAACATTTATTCAGAAATTTCCATCTTAGACCAATGTCCTTACAAGTATTTACCTTTTCAGCTGAGTCAAAAAGAATTCTGGCCAGGTAAAAACAGACAACTATAGAAATATCCATAAAAACTAACAAAAAATTAATCTGGGTAAGAAAACTAGAAAATCATTTTTTAACATAAGTAATTTTATACATGGAAAAAGCTAAACATAACAAAGCTCCCAATTTTATTTACCCTGTTTTCTAAAATATAAATCTGCTCGTCTTTGATTCATATAATTACACACATATGAAAAAGAGAAAAGTGTAAGACTGGGATGCTAGTCTATCATTTCTACACACTTAGACAACTGATAGTGGAGAACCAGACTTACACTTTGAACAAGCTAATAATTTAAGAGGTTCTGTCTTTGAAGAGGGAAGGCAGATAAACACTGGTATGCAACCAAAGTCTATCACCTAACAGATTCAAAAGAGAAACCAAAAAAAGTGGATGAAACATTGAAAGCATGCTAAATGAAAGAAGCCAGATTTCACAAAAAAAGCACATGTTGTATGCTTCCTTATATATGCAATGTCCACAGACATAGAAGAAAGATTGGTGGTTGTCAGGGACTGGGGGAAGGTGGGAATGTGTATGGGATTTCTTTTTAGGGTGATGAAAATGTTCTAAAATTGGTTGTAGTAATGATTGCATAACTCTAAGTACTAAAAACCACTGAGTTGCACATTTAAATGTCTAAATTGTATAACATGTGAATTACGTGTCAATAAACTTGTTTTTTAAAAGGCAAAATATAAAATGCACTCAACAAGTACATGGGGATCATAAAATTAACTTCTAATGTTTTAATTATTTAGTCTGCTGGATTTGACAGATGCTCTGCAATGTGAAATAGCATTAGGGTTAGGAAAGCACCCATGATGCTGGGTGAGAGTGCTTGCTAGCATATGCAAGGCCATGGGTTTGATTCCTCATAACACAAAACAAAATTTTAAAAAATCTTTAGTATGATGGTAGCTTAATTTGGATATTGATGTCTCCCAGGGCCTTGGGCTATATAGCTCAGTGTCAGAGCACTTGCCTAGCATGTGAGAAGCTCAGGGTTGGACCACCAGAAAAGAGAGAGAGAGAGAGAGAGAGAGCACAAGAAAGAGAGAGGAGAGAGAGAGAGAGAGAGAGAGAGAAGAGAGAGAGAGAGGAGCCAGGTTCATATTTTTATGAAGGACAATAGGCCTGCCTAAATACTACATTGCAAAAATAATTTAGCTGAAAAACTGGATACTTATTATGACACAGACAGCTAGGAGGGACCAGGGAGTGTGCTGGCAGCATGAAAATTAGTCACCAGATAAATAAAAACTTCCCAGTCTTACCTGTTGAGATTTAGGACACCTGAAATCTTTATAGGCCCCCTTCAGAAATCCCCATAACTTTTAGAAAAATTTTATGAAATTAACGATTCACTCTAATGCTATAGTATTTGATTTTCCAAGAAGACACACACATGAAATCTAGGTGATTAAACTAGATTAAAAGTTATGCAGTTTGAAAATTGCATGAAATCAAATGTATCCAACTATTACAACAATGTCATCGTGTCAATACTGTATTTTCTGCTATTTGCCAAAACATTAAAAATTTAAAAGAACTGACATGTGCTTTGTTACATCTTTAAAATGTTTTTTAAATGTAAGGCAGTTGCTTTTTCTTCAATATGCTTCTTCATTATAACGAAATCAAATCATATCCCTTCTGTGACTAGTATTTTATTTCATAGCCCCCTGATAATCACTTACAAAAAGAAAAAAATTAGCAGCAGTCATGATTTTGTTTTCCAAAATTACTGGGGACACACTACTGACTTCTAGAATTACCTATTTCTAGTAAAGGTATACAACACAAAACCGCAGTAGAAGGGCTGGGTTCCATCTCCAGCACGTCCAAAAAAAAAAAAAAAAAAAAAAAAAAATATATATATATATATATATATATATACACACACACAACAAAAAAAAAAAAAAATCCACTGTTGTGTCTTACAAGATAACGCCGGGTGCCCCCAAAGCCAGAGCTCTGTGGTTCCCTGGGGTCCTGTCACGCAAAGTGGCCGAGCTCTGGCGCTCAGCAAAGAACCAAAGGCACCAACTCTGCTCAGCGAGTGCCCGTAACAAGTAGGGCACATCTTCCCACACGCCCTGCCTTCCTTCCTCCCCAGAAACCGAGCGGGGGCTTTCCTAAGGCGCCCCCACCCGGAACCGGAAAAGCGACCATCTTCCCTGAACCCCCCCGGCCGGAAGTGGGGCCCCGCCAGCCGGTGCACTCACCCTGCAAGACCAGGACGCCCAGCAGGGGAAAGGGAGCGCACCCCCGGCCTCCAGCCGCTGCGCTCTGCCGCATCCCGGCAGCTCTTCAGACACTTGCCCACCTTGTTTGCGGCTGCCGGTAACCTCGCAGGTAACAACGGAAGTGACGCAGGGCGGAAGGCAGTGAGAAGATTTAAAATGGCGATCTGGAGTTGCCGGAGACATGGCTTCTTTACGGAACTTTACCTGGTTTCACTGACCAGCGATTCTTTGACTCTCAAATGGGACCTGATTGCTCCCCTTTGCTTGACATTGAAGTAGACTAAAGACTTTGGGAAATCTATTTTATTTTTAATGGAATTCTGCAGGAATAATCTTGAACCTGTATTTCAGAGGCTTATTCCTCTAGATATTACTTTTGTTGAATTCTCGCAGTAGAGTTCCGTAAAGTTAGAGCTGTGAGACCGCTAAGGACATGTGAGATCAGCCAATAGATAAATATTTATTAGGCCTTTGTGGTCATACACGCCTAAAGTTTCTTTGGTTCTTGTCTTTTTAAATGTAGCTGTTAGTGAATCCAGAATTGGGTGTTTATTAAATTACTGTTGACAGTGGCGATGACGAGCATATCACTGCAGCGTGTTTGAAGAGGTGAAGGGTCTCAAGTTTGTGTCTTTTGGCTGGAAAATTAGTTGAAGTGAAATGGTGCTACATTGTTCTGAATGTTAGAATTAGTCAACCCAACGTAAGTAATCACCACATGATCTAATGAAAGCAGCAGTGGAACAAAAGTATACTTCAGACTTTGGGAATATTTAATAACTTTCCATTTCTGCCATTCCTTTACTAGACTTGGACGTTGGTAATTTTCTCTAGTAAGAGTAGTAATGCAAGAGTACCAAATAGAATAGTTGGTACGGTACCTTCAAGAGTCCACAAACTGAGCCAAGTGTGGTAGCATACATTGTAATCCCAGCAGTCAGGAGGCTGAGATAGGACTACTGTAATTTCAAGGCCAGCCAGGGCTACACAGCAGAGTTCCAGGTCAGCCTGAGCTACAAAGAGACCCTGTCTCAAAAGAGTTCCAAAACTAAATAGTGTTGTTATGCCCAATTCCCATCTATCCAAAGCAGTGTGAAAATTCTATGGAAATCTGCTTTGATTTATCCACTTAAAATTCTATGGAAATATGCTTTTATTTATCCAGTAGAAATTAAATTAATTCTATCCATTATTCCAGGTTGTCTCTACTAAGAAAACTTTCAGTGCAAATAAAATACACACCCATTTTCTGTTACCTGCTATGTAAAATTTTCAGATTTGTATATAAGCAAATAATTCTTTATTACTAAAGGTTTATTTACATACCGTTTAAGGCATAATAAAAAATAAGTTACAATACAAAAGTGCTCTTTAGAAAGGAGACACTAAACAACAAGGCCATATTACCCTCTGAATATTTAGCCATGACACAAGCTACAAGTTTACCAGAAAAATTCTCCATGAGTTCTTTAACTACTACTTTGTAACATTTATGGAATAACATGCAGGTCATCTGTTTAAAGATATATCCAGTTATATATTTACACAGCTTGAATTATGAACAAAAATATAAAATGTGTATCAAAGGTAATACAGATTTCTAATCCAGTTTTTAGCTTCAAAACTAGGCATGAAACATGACTTGTTTAAACAGTATAAAAGACAGATAAGGAATACATTACAGAATCAAGGTTCATATGTAAATTATACCAATTTTTAAAAATTATATTGGAAAAAATCAAGCTCTAGCATCTTTAAATATAATCTATTTAAAAATTCCAGTTTGCTGAAAGATACAGTATCTCCAGCCAAGTAAATGAAAACAAAATATCAGGCTGTAAAGATGTATCTTGGTCTAAACTTTAGATGTTTTCTGTTCTTTGAGCAAATGCTACTGTAGCTTAACTTTGGAAAGACATGGATCAACTGACACTTTTTTAAAAGCACCTTTCTTTCTATAGTCCACTTATAAAGTTTCCTTAATCTACCAGTATAAGGGGGGAAAAAAAGAATAAAGCAGTTTCATTCAGTTAAAGTAGTGGGATTTCTTTGCTCCATGCCAAATTCTCATTCCCTTAAAGTAAGCAAGTGAATTACAATTTTGAAAAATTTACATAATACAATTTTGAAAAATTTACATAATCTCTTCCAGTCTTAGAGCTTTGTATAATAGTATACAAAATTATCATCTTTTAGGGTTGGTCTTTTTTCATCAAGCTTAAATTTTTTAAATTGTAATATATTATTTCAGAATCCTTGTATTAAAGTGCTTAATGATTCCAGTCTACAAACAAGAATAGACTTTGTTCTGTTGTTAGGTAATTGAATGGGTGAGGGACATAGTAAGCTGAACAGTCACTGCTCATGAAAGACCTACACTGTTTATTATTTTCTACAGTACAGAAAAAAGTAATGAATGATTCATCCTGAGTTGGCATTTGCTAATGTATTAGCATTTATGTAACCTTTTGTAGTGACTGCGATTTAGACTAGTGATTGTAAACCATGGATTATTGACAACAACAACAAAAACCTTTCTACCTGCAATACTGAAAGAAAGACTGTAAGATAAGATGTGTCCAATACTTAAGGAGAGCCATAAAAATCAAAATTAATAGTTTGAATTTGGGATTTACTATTAATCAAAAATTGTTGGAAGATGCAGGTCACCTTATAATTGAAAGTGTGAGAAGGAAAGAAAGTAAATGTTAGCTTTAGTAGCAAGAATGCTGCTCTGAAGAAACTAATAGGCGACAGGAAATGGCATGATAGACTGGCTTCAACCCTTTAGATGCCAGTGTATGTGTGTATAAGTCGCACTCCACAAGGAGCATTTAAGGGCAAAAATGTAGCTTCTTAGTTGACAAAAGGTAATAAGAAGCATTTGAAAAATGTTCGCACTTTGAAATTAAAACCTTAACAGTGAGGCCCTGCAAGAATCTTGTGGCATCTGCTCAAGAACCTTATGCTGCCTGCAGAGGAATTTTGCTCATCTAGGTGAGTATGTGCTCCAGAACTTGCAGGAAGACAGGTCACAACTGGAGAAGCCAAAGAAAAGTTCCCATTAACTTCAAGGAATGCTATGATTCCTGTTCTTGGAAATCTTCAGCTTCCTAAAACACAAAAGTTTAAAGGTATAATAAACTATACAATACCTGGTATTATGAATGATACATATTATTATATCTGTTTTCCATTTCTGAAGAAAAATTTTTTTTCTTTTTTTTAGCTATACAGGGTTTGAACTCAGGACCTCATGCTTGCTAGGCAGGTGCTCTATCACTTTTGCCACTCCACCAGCCCCTGAAGGAAAATATTCTTAAACTTACTCCCTGTTTAAATTTTTTTTTAAATATGGGATGGTTCACAAATTCACGTCATCCTTGCACAGGGGCCGTACTAATCTTCTCTGTATTGTTCCAATTTTAGTATATGTGCTGCCGAAATGAGCACCCCATTTCAATTCTTAATGAAAGAAGTTCTTTATCCCTGTTACATGGTTCTCAGGTTCAGTGCCCCTTATTCACAGCCTCTAAATGCCTCACAGGACACTGGGTGAGCCACAGCTCACTCATTTGTAGACGTTCCATGCCACCCACCATAATAAGCAAACCAAGCAGACAGAAGTAGAGAAGACAGTACATGGAAGTCATCCATCGCCTAATTTTAAAGTTTTTTTTTTCTCTTTTTTGTAGTATATGCTTATTTAGGCTGAATTTTTAAACAAATTACATTTACCCCTATGTACTCCATTGTGGGTATTTTTTAGAGTTTTTGGTTTTTTTTTTTTTTTGAGGCAAGGTCTCACTATGTAGTCCAGGCAGGTTTGCCTCAAACTCACTGTGTAGACCGGGCAGGCCTCTAATTGCAATCCTGCTGCCTCAGCCTCCCATTAGAATCATGCCCCACCATGTCCAACCCTCTACTGCACATTTTTAAAATAGGGCATTTTCCTATGTAATCACAATACAATTATACACCTAATAAAAACTGACAATTAAACCGGACACTGGTGGTTCATGCCTGTAACCCTAGCTACTCAGGAGGCAGAAATCAGGAGTACTGCAGTTCAAAGCCAGCCCAGGCAAATAGTTGGAGAGACCCTACTATGAAAACTGGATTTGTAGTATAATAACTGAATGAGGAGTTGAAGTAAATTCTAAATAATACAAAAGTTCTCCTGTCAAAATACCATGCATACCTATTAAGCCATTTTCTTAATGCCATGACTGGTTCACAATTTAAAAAAAAACATACTAATCCTTTCATTAGAAAATAACTTATTTACATGTTGAAAGTTTATTATTGATGGTGGTAAATACAACCCCAAAACCTTAAAGAACTTTAGAATTATCCAGCTTTAATGGCAGTCTACTTTCTTAATCCTTTGCAGAAAGTACACTAATAGGAGTTGCCATCCATGAGACTAATAAAATATTCCCTAATTCAGAGCCTCTAATTTCATATAGGAAACACTTAACAGCCATTCAAAGCCATCTGGGAGATCCACATTATAGATGAGCCAGATAGGTCATGAAGCTGAGGAAAGAAATCCACCTACTTGTGAACCTTACCATCTAAGACTCTTAGTCTGTGTCTTCTAAAAACACAGAGACCTTGTTTTCTTGGTCAAGCTTTTCCTCTTCTTTTCTGTAACAAAGCAGAAACCAAATGTCAGGTGAAAAAGACAAGAAGCAAAGGAGGCAAATCCTACAGAAATGGCAGGTAAAGTATTTTCTCCCCCATACTTCGGGAAGAATTACATGCACCTAGGAATATATCTTCTGTAGAGCTAACACACTAGTGCACCTAATAATACTTGTGCTCCCACATGATCCTGGGGATTGGAACTTATTCAGAATGAAAAGCAATTCAATTTGGGATCTGATTGGGAACTCTGAAAACTTAAAGTATACACCTTTCTTTATCATTGGTATTCTACCTCTAGTTTCTAATCTTGTTCAAAAAAGAAAAAGTTTTGTGCTGACCTAGAAATCCTCTTTCTTAGTTATATTCTGTTCAAACTAGGAACAGAGGTGGGTTTCTTAAACTCTAAATCAATTATACTTATCTCAGAAATATTTACTGAGGAAAAGAAACAAATGGTAGTTGGGTGTTGATGGCTCACACTTGTAATCCCAGCTTGAATTGGGAGGCCAAGATGGGAAGATCAAAGTTTGAGGTGAACATGGGCAAATAGTTTGCAAGACCCCATCTCCAAAATAAAAAAAATGGACTGGAGATTTGGCTGAAATTATAGATCTCCTGTTCTGCAAGTGTGAAGCCCTAAGTTTAAACCTCAATCTTGCCAAAAAAATTAAAAAGAGAAAGAAACAAATGATGCTGGGAAAGCTGTATATCCACATGCAAAAGAATGAATTGAGGCTCTTACCTCAACCATACATAAAAAATAAAAAGGACTGGTATCCAACATACATAAAGAGCTCTTACACCTGAACAATAAAAAGACAAGTAGCCAACCCAACTTTGATGGGCAGACTATCTGAATAGATATAACTCTAAATAAGCTATACAAATGGCTGAATATATGAAAAGATACTCAATGTCAGTAGACATTGTGAAAGTGCAAATAAAAATCTCAGTGAGGTGCCACTTCACATCCACTAGATGGCTGTAATAAGAAAGTAAAGTGCTGGTGAGGATGTGAAGAAATTAGAACCCTCATACACTGCTCACAGCAATGTAAAATGCAACTCTTTGGCAATTCCTCCAAAAATTACCACATGACTCAATAATTCCCCCTCCTAGAAGAATTGAAAACCTATGTCTACACAAAAACTTGTAGATGAATGTTTATAGCAGCATTAGTCATAATAGCCAAGAAGTCAGGGGAAAAATGCTAATTGACAAATGGAAAACAATAGGTAGTATACCCACTACAATGGAATATTATGCAGCCATTAAAAGAAATGAAGTAGTATGTGCTACAACACTGATGAACTTTGAAAACCTACTAAGTAAAAGAATATAAATATAAAAGGCCACATAGTTTATGATTCCATTTATAGGAAATGTCAAGGATAGGCAAAGCCTGTAGACAGAAAGTAGACAAGTAGCTGTTGGTCTGGTGGGAGGGGGGAATAGGTATGGAATTTCTTGAAGCTAGAGGATGTTAAAAAAAAAAAAAGGTTGGTGATGATTGTTGCACAACTTTGTGAATATTTAAAGGGTGAGTTTCATGATATATAAGTTTCATCTTAATTTAGAAATATGTGTGTTGACTCCTAGTGTAAGCACATCAGACTTTTCTAACACACAAGTTCATACTGACCCAACTGACTGCCTGGCCCACTCACAAATATGTGCTTCACTTTAAAAGTAAGAGACATTTTAGAAATGCTGTTGTGATTTTTACTGCGTCAGATCCCATAGTAAAGAAACTGTATGATGAAGTCTCTTGTAAGATTAAGAAACTTTTTGTAGAGTTACTATTCGCACCTTAATTTATCTGTCCTGTGAATTAACATTCTTTTACACAGGATTTACTCAAAGGGAAGAACATGTGTTCTACAGTTATTCAACCCCATCACAAAATACCAAGAGTCACCATAAAAGTCTAAGAAGAAGCCTTCCCCATCAGTGCCCAGCCTTACAATTTTATCTCCATCACTTTATGGGCTCTCTCAGCCCATCGCTTTTTCCGGAAATGCTGGAAGAGGACCACAGCGATGACTATAATGACCATCAGTGCACAGGAAGAGCCAATGGCCAGAGCCAGGAAGTACATCTCAGAGAAGGGCACTGTTAGGAGGAAACAAATCACATGGTCAAGTTAGCACTCTGAAAAGAACCAGGATGAAGTCTAAAGACATAAGAGGCACACAGCTCATCATTGAGTGGAATCTTCCTTTTTCCTCCTTTCATGTATAAAATACCCTAGTACCTATGAGTAAGTAAGAAAGTAATAGTGTGCATGTAGGAAAGCCATACAGACTACTTCACTGGTTCTCAACGTGTGATCCTAGGGGTAGCAGCAACAGCATCACTTGAGAACTTTGAAATGAAAATTCTCAGGCCCTACCCCAGCCCTACCAAATTAAAAACAGTAGGGGTGGGGCCCAGCAATCTGTGTTTTAACTTGTCTTCCAGGTGATTATGATGACATTAAAGTTTGAGAACTACTGAGTCAGTTGTACTGCCCAGAAGGACAAGGTTATTGCTAACCAATCAGACCTATTGCCCAACAAATCTCCCTTAACTCTCACCCCGTCATTCAGCCAGTTGCTTATTCAGATTTAGTAAGGGGCTGCTGTGCTCCAGGCACTGTGATAGAAATGGAAAGCCAAAAAAAAAAAAAAAAAAAAGAAAAGGCATTACTTTCAAGTTCTTGCCTCCTGAGAAGATAGGCAAGTAAATCAGTAACTACGGCCTAGTGAATAAGTGGTAAAAGAGGGAACCCAGAGGTAAGGGCACCTAAACTGGACAGGTGTATAAAACCTGCTTCTCCTATCCTTTAACTTGATTCCCAACTTACACTTCAATAAGCCCTCAGTGCCAGAAAGCACATTAGAGAATGTCTAGCCCAGGAGTTCCAGCCTGGGTTCCACCAGGAAGGATAGAGAAAAGCCAGGTGTGGTGTACACATCTATAATCCCAGCACTCAGGAGGTAGAGGCAGGAGGATTATGCGTTCCAGGCCAGCCTAGGCTACATGGCAAGACCCTGTCACAAAAAGAAAAAGGGAAAGAATACCAACTCTACTGTTTACCAGCTCTGAGATTTGAGATAATTAGCTTTTTTTTTTTTTGGTGGGACTGGGGTTTGAACTCAGGGCCTCACTCTTGGTAGGGTGCTCTACCACTTGAGCCACTCCACCAGCCCTGTTTTGTGTTGGGTATTTTCGAGATAGGGTCTCTCAAACTATTGGCCTAGACTGGCTCTGAACTGTCATCATCCTGATCTCTGCTCTTGAGTATTTAGAATTACAGGCATGAGCCACCAGCACCCAGCAATAACTAACTTTTTGAGCCTCGGATTTTTCCTGTGCCAGACAGAGATGACAACATCCATTTCTGGAATTCTTATAAAAATAGAGTTCATGTAAATTGTTCCATGCTGTGCTTCCCCATAATAAGCACTCTATATATATGATAATTTTCAGTACAGTTCAGAGTTTGGGAGGTTTTCACATTTTTATTTTCAGTCTGCGCTTACCATGATCCTTATGGTAATAATCCTTGTTACATTATTCTTACTTTACGGATAAGAAAAATAAGATTTGCCCATAGTTGCTAAATGAGAGCCCTGACTCAAACCAGATCTACAACTCCTAGATATTGCAATCTTTGTTCTTTTTTACTTGACTCAGTTTTCCAGGTGTCCTTTATAGAGGCAGAGGCAACAATAGTTTGAAGCAGAATTTTAGAAGCAGAGAAGGTTCCATTTGAGTCTGAAGTTACTCCACTTTCTAATTACATGACTTTGAGCAAGCAACTTCTGTGAGCCTGCTTCCTTGTTAGTAAAATGGCAGACACAATGTACAATAAACCGTGAGATAGGTAAAGAATAAATAAAATGTCCTGTAAAGGCCTGAGAGTGGGAAGTACTCAATAAAGGTAGCCACCATTATTACTGTCTGCCCCTCGGGTGGTGCCAGGGTTAAGTGAGAATGGTATGACGTGTAAGCAAACTGGCCTGGCCCAGAGCAGGTACTCAATAAGCTTCTTGAATAAATGAGAGAATGAAGAGACCTATTGTTAGCTTTTATCAGAGAGCTGCTTCCTCTCCCTTGCAGGATCAGTGCCATTTTTGTAACAGATTCCCTGCATCCCTTCGCTTTATTTTCTGTTTCTTTCCACAACAAAACATCCTTTTTGCACCAGGATCCTTCGGTCTCCCTCTGAACTTCCCAGCTCTGAAGCACTAGGTCCTCTCTCCATCCTTCCAATCATCACAAAAAATTGCCCCTCTCTTTTCTACCAGCTCCGTTACTTCCCAAACCCTTGATCCCTGGAAAACCTACCAGTGTGCACCACGCTGAGCCGGATGGCCCCTATCACCCCATCAACATCAGGTGGGTTCTTCACCTGACAGGTGTATGTCCCATTGTCATCAAACTGCAGCTTCCAGAGCATGATAGAGGCATCATACCGATCAGGATTCCCGTCCCAGACCACCCGGTCCTTGAACCGCCCACTCATGGGTTTGAAGGGGTCCACATGATAGTAGAATACCTAGGGAGAAGAAATGGCAAGTTCCCCTTGAGTCCCGGGCAAGGCAAGGATGCTGAGGTGGGGGGGCGGGGTTTGGAAAAGAAACATCAGCGAGCCTAAATGTCCTGCATCTATCTCATGACACTCTCTTGCTTCCCCTTGACTGACCCCTCAGTCCTTTTAGTCTCTGTCCCAAAATTCATTTCCCAACTTACCCCTGTGCTTGTTACTAAGAAGATACAGGAAGGGCAAAGAGAAATGGACTGGCTTAATATTTTCCTAAGGGTCCCCTAGAAAATGACTAGGTATCTACTCACAAATTGCTCAGGTCCCCCGTCCTGAGGGCGGAAATTCCAAGTCACTGTGAGTGCATCACCCACAGGGGCAAAGCTGGAGAAAGTGCATTTTAACCGAACATCTGTGCCATTGACAGCATCCAGTGTCCCAGGGGTGTAAATTTCCACAGCTGCTGTAGACCAAATTACTGCAATGGAGGGAAGGAAGAAGGGTTACCAGCGGTGTAACATGGAGAGAACAGCTGACACTGTCTTAAGTAAATGGCAGAGATGAGCATAAGGAGAACCCAGCTGCCAGCTCTCAAACTTACTTCACCCTGCATCCTCCTACTTAAAGGCAGCTTGACCCTCCCATCCTGTAGGACAACTAAAAATGCTACACGGTGAACCTGATTAGTGCTTTCTCCACAGCCTCACTGCAGAACTGTTATAGCAGGGAGTGGAGGTGTGGCCCAGGAGATGAGTGCTGCCTAGCAAGCACAAGGCCCTGAGTTCAAACTCCATACCACCATAGAGCAACAAACCATAGACATCAACAAATAAAACTGAAGCAAAGAATTACAACATCATAACATTGATTAGACACTACCTTATGTGTTAAGATGAAACACTATGTATTTTGTGTAATATAGTCTCCTAGCAGGTAAATTTTCCAGAAAGGTTTCATGTTACATAGACTTCCAACTGCTGCTAGTCTTCTGCAGAAATAGGGATTAATCAACTCCAGACAGCTCGTAATTTCCCACACCCATGGAACCAGTGTACCACGTGGCATATTTTACCATGGTATTTACATGTACGATGTGTGTGGGGGCAGTTTCAAAACCACAGTGGGTCTCTCTCACACCCCTTATCTCCCCCCACCCCCATTTCTCTCACAATCTCAGTTTTCCCAGACAAGACCCCCATACAGAAATCCAAGTGCCAAGTCCCACCAACTGGGGGCGGGGGGGCGGGAGTGAGGGCAGCTACACAAAAAATGGAGTGTAACCTGAGATCAGAAAGCCCTCTCTGTGCAGGAATCACGGGGCAGACTCACCTAAAACCTGTTTGTCCAAAGCAGTTCTCCCAAACGACCCACACTTTCAGTAAAATCCACACTAAGCCAAACTGCAGCTGTGTCTCAGGCCCCCACCAAAGCTCTCAGACTTAGCTGAGCAATTAGCTGAGTTCCTGGGGTAAGCAGTGAGGGAGGAAATGGCAAGGGGCTCGCCAGCACTTACCTGTCAGCTGGAAGCCAAGGAGAAGCAGCACACACATGGGACTCTTGCCATACATGAGGGAAACCCAGCCCTGGCCCAGAGACCAGACCCGGCAGAACCAGGCTCCAGCACCCCACCAATGGCAGACCTGGAGGAGCAGGCACTTCTCCCCAGGAGCTCCAAGTCCCTCACGTATGGGAATGTGAGCGCTGGGCGAGCCAGCAGTGACTCATCCTGTACGGTGCTCAGCTTGGGGCTGGAATGAAAGGTGGGGCCTGGGCTGCACTCCCAACGCCCTCCTCTCCCCCTCCCTCCACTGCCGGGCAGGTCTGCACAAAGGTCCCAAACTCTGCAGCCTCTCTGCTCTGCAGTTCATCTGACTGGGCCCTGGCCTCTGGGTGGCCTCACAAACAGCCAAAGGAGGTGGTGCCAGTTTGAAAAGTCCCAGGCTGCTTTGGGTTTGGCCCACACACCCTTTTAAAACAGGCTTTGGGCTGGCTTGGGAAGTGAAGGCTGGAACCACCTTCCAGATCCTAGCGTGCTGCCCTGGGGCCACAGTAGTCAGGACTGGAGTCACTGTAATGCTAAATCAAGAATCTTGAATTCATCAGGACCCTCTGTGACAACTGAGCTGACAGCCTTGGCTTTAGCCAAATGTTTCCCAGTTTCTGCACCTTTTCTAGCTTGTAGTGGTCCCCAAACCAGCCACCAAACTACATCTCAGTGTTTGATAATTCTTCCTCTTTGACAGATTGAATGAAGAATCAGGACAGCACCTGCACTCATGGACCCAACTAGCTCAGTACTGTTTGCAAAGTGCTTTCCTGTCTATCCTTTCACCTCTACAATCCCCCATGAAGGGTCCCATTTTACCAGAGACCATACTAAGAGCCCAGAGAATGTAAGTGATTTGCCCAAGGTTCCACAGCCAACAGGTGGTGAAACTGGGACTTTTCTCTTTCCACAAAATGACAGTGGGTAAGAATAATCAGAGAGAGGACTTTGGAAAGAAAAGGATTTGGGGTTGGAGGTGTGGCTAAAGTGGTAGAGTGCCTGCCTAGCAAGCATGAAATCCAGAGTTGAAACCCCAGTACCACAAAAGGGTTTTCACAATATCATTTCTGGGCCTCAGATTTCATCTGTCATTTTTAGGGCAACCATCTGTCTGAGGCATTTAAAGATTTGAAGGATTTAAATGAGAAAAAGGACGTCCTTGTCTGGAAAGAGACATAGATTAATGAACGCAGTTAAGTAAAATAAATCAGGGGGTGGAGCCCCCAAATACAATCAAATGGCAACCAGCTAGAAACTCTAGTGATTCATAGTCTCCTAGCCCAACCTGGAACAGAGAGGACGCAGGCAGGGGAGGAGGGGAGACAAAGACCAGGCTGAGTAGAAAAATAAAACATCAGGCTGGGGATGGTAAAACACCTGGCTAGCATACACAAGGTCCTGGTTTCAATCCCCAGCACCACAAAAAAAAAAAAAATGAAAGCATAAAAAGAAAAAATATATCAAAAAGGAGGCAAATTATAGGAAAGAAGAAAAAGAAAAGCACAGAAGAAAAATGATGTGGTCATGAAGCAAAAACAGACACCAGCAGAAACCTGTTCTGGTAGAACTGAGAAGCCCAGGGCAGCCCCAAATGGAGGGCAGCTTCAGCTAGATCAGCTGGGTGAGGAGTTCTGAAAAAACAGTGTCTGACTCCTTTGTCAGCTTCTAGGTCATTCTGCGCAACCTAAACTCAGAATGCTGGGGTGCTGAGCGGCCTTTAAAATGGTCTTTCTGGTATGAAGGTCAGAAAAGGTCAGCTCCAGGAACCTGGAAGGAAAAAGTTCAAGGAAACTTGATCTTCTTGGTTGGCTTCCAACATTTGCAGGAAAATGCAACTCTAGAGGAAGAAGAGGTAGAGCCTGGGGTTTTGAAGTCTACAGCAAATTGAAGAATTTGGGGAGGTAAAATTACCAGAGAGCTGAGGGATACTGTGAAACTCAGTAGGTGAGGAATTGGGGCAGGAAGAACTGAACAGACTGCCTGTTGTTGAGGCAGAAGAATCCCTCCCCAGTCTCCAGACCCCTGAGGGCTGGCTGCCAGCCCTGCTCTGAGAGGCACAGCTGCCCAGATCCCATTCCTCAGTGGAGGTCAAGTTCCTGGCTTTGTGCTCCCTGTGACAATGCCCAGCTCCTTCCAGTTAGCAGGAGCAACTCAGAGTCACTAGGCAAGGATGGAGGCCAAGGGCTACATAAGAAAATGCTAAATCAAAAGATCACTTCCCCTCAGAGCTCCCAAGGTATCAGTAATCAGGACTTTGATCACAGTTGGAGTCATGGGCAAACAGTCTAAGTAATGGTAGAATCTAGCAAATGAGTTCAGGAGATTACAAAGACAAAAACTAGGTGGCTGAGTGGCTCAAGCAGAAGAGCACCTGCCTATCAAGAATGAGGCTCTGAGTTCAATCCACAGTACCACCAAAAAAAAAAAAAGAAGAAAAGTGGTTTGGGCATAGTGGTACATGCCTATAATCCCAGCTATGTGAGGGGGAGTTGGGAGGCTCAGAGTTCAAGGCTAGCACGGACAAAACAGTTATCTAGCCCCTATCTGAAAAGTCAAATGAGGCATGGTAGCATGTGTCTGTAATCCCGGCTATTTGAGAGGTGAAGGTGGAACGATCAAGGTTCAAAGCCAGCCTGGGCAAAAGCATGAAACCCTATCTGAAAAACAAACTAAAGCAAAAAAGGCTGAAGGTGCAGTTCAAGGGTAGTGCTTCAAACCTCAGTACCACATGAAGGAGAAGTAAGTGAGCTGGGCATGTAGTACATTGCTATAATCCCAGCTATTCAGGAGATGGAAACAGAAGGATCCATGGCAAAGTTAGCAAGACTGAAAACAAAATAGAAATAAAAAGACTGGGGGCTCAAGTGGTAGAGAGCTGGCCTAGCATACATGAGGCTCTGGGTTCAATCCCCAGTACTGGGGAAAAAAAGAAAGAGAGGGAAGGAGGGAGGAAGAGAAGGAGGAATGAAGGAAGGAAGGAAGGAAGATTTCAGAGACACCATTTTTTTCTAAAGTTCTCCAGAGACTACTCCTGATTGTTATTAAAATTTGTGGTCTAACCATAGTAGGTCCCAAAGCATCTCATCTGTCCCAAACCTCTGCACATTTCCCAAACATCCAGACCTAGGACAGTACAAAACTCATGAGGGCTCAGAAGACATGAAGGACTGCTGGCCTGTATCAACACTTATAAAATTGTCTTTCTCAACATTGTAGGCAAAAATGCTTCTTTCACCACAAGATAAAAACCATTCTGTGAGGCAAGGAAAACATATCATGTAGCTTTCAGGGTGATTCAGCTAAAGCATTAGGTACTCAATAGCTGCTATCCATAAGCCCTACAAGGAAAAAATTATTACATGCTTGTTATAGTCTGGGCTAGACATGCAAAGTAGAATAAGTCTGAAGAATATGAGGAGGCTGGGCACCGGTGGCTCACATCTATAATCCTAACTACTCAGGAGACAGAGATCAGGAGGATCGAGGTTCGAAACCATCCTGGGCAAATAGTTCCATGAAACCCTATCTCAAAAATACCCAACACAAAACAGGGCTAGTGGAGTGGCTTGAGTAGTAGAGTGCACGTCTATTAAGCATGAGGCCCTGAGTTGAAACCCCACTACAAAAAAATGAAAAAGAGAAAAGTGAGGCTGGAGCGATAGTTTAGTGGTAAAGCACACAGTCTCCAGGATCACAAACAAAAAAGGTAATAAATTTAATGCAAAATGAAGAAGGACAAGGAAGAGAAAGATGAAGAGAACCTTGAGACACCACCCACCATTTACTTTCTTGGCTTTCTCATGGGCCCTGGGCCTAGGAGCCAGAAGGAAAGTATAGACCTCACACCTGTTTTCAGAAGATGGGAATTACCAGCCTTCCCTAGCCAACAACTCCAATTTGCAATATTCGTTTTTGAAACTCTGGCTTGGAGAACTTAATAGGGATGAGAGAAGGAAGTTAGTGTGAAAGACCTCTTAGCAAGGTAGGCTCTGAGCCCAAAAGAATAAATGTGTTCTCTTTGGTCCCTCACCTCACGTTAAGCTTCCTAGACATATTCCAAATCAGGTTTGGGTCTGAGACAGAACTCTGAGTTTAGAGAAACCATGGGAGGGGACTCTCCAGTCTCCTTACCTCTCAGCAACTTTCACCTGCCTCTCCAGTAAAGCCTCAGGCTCCTCTCTTAATTACAGAGGAGTGGCATCTTACTCTGAATCTACATGGAGTCCAGGGCTGAAAAGATGGGGTATCTTTGGAGATAAAGTTGAAGAATCTCTCAGATGCAAAAGGGGCCTTGATAGATGCATTTGTTTTTCTCCCTGACCACCATACAAACTACCTCTAAATAAAGGGGGGAAATTTACATTTACATTGCTTATCACTGAATACAGTATATCCTGTTACTCTTGATATAATTATGCATGTTATAACTGATTACTTTGGCCAATTTTTATTCTAAGGAGGTTAATTTATTTCCTGAGAAAAGAAACACCCACTTTTTGCTATTGTCATTGTTGCATATTCTCCGAGGCATGAGCCACAGGACCTGGAGTCTGACCTACTTAGATCCAAATCCAGTCTCAGCCACTCATTGTCTGCATGAGTTTGAGCGGCTATTTAATTTTCTGTTCCTAAGTTGTCTCAATGTAAAATGGGAATAATAAGTCTGCTTGTTAGGTATGAGTGAGCTGAAGACTCTATACTCAATGCCCACAGAAAATACTCAGTAAATTTTAGTTTGTCATTATACTTAGGTAAGGTGTTGAAAAACTGTCCCATAGCCCCTTTGGGAAAAGGTCTGGTGTTTTCTTGTATATATAAACAGTAGTGATTCTTCTCTAAGGTATTTACCCAAGAGAAAGTAAATCATATGCTTTATTCATAATAGCCCAAAACTAGAAAACGGTTCAACAAAAGAATGGATAAGTATGCTGTAGAATATTCATACATAAATATTAATCAGCAATGAAAAGGAACAAACTCGAATACATACAGCACCATGGATGAACTCAAAAAGGCGCAAAGTAGTGCATACTCTTTGACTCCGTTTATATGAAGTTCTGAACTGGGAAAAATCTTTGGTAGAAAAGAGTCATAAAAACAGTGCATTTGGGGGAAAGGGGAGAGGGACTGACTGGATGGAGAGGCATAAGAGAACTTTCTAGAGTAGAAACTAATGTTCTATGTCTTGATAGGTTTGGTTTACATGGCCTTTATACACTTGTCAAA